TTGGTTTATCACATAATATCTCAATAAAAAGTGAAAAAATGCAAATAGGATTTATTCCACATAAGAGTGCAACAATTCTACAAAAAAGTTCAACATCTTCAGAACAAAAATGTGCAGAGAAATGGAAATAATCAATATGAAGAATTAAAAATATACAAGTCATAGTTGCATGGAGGGTTTAAACTCTTTATCTGTGTTTTGTCTCCCCCTGCTGGTATATCAGAGTAATGCCAGCTCAATGTATGACAGCTGAAGTGATTTTTTTTCATATTTATTTCAGATTTTTGGCAAGAAGGGTTGGTTAGAATAACTCACCGTAAAGTCTATGAAAGTAAATCTAATGCTATGCCACTTTAACACAATAGTTTTTTGCCTGTTTTGTCTTTTTGGCAACGTTTCTGCTCCAATTTGAACACTGACATGTGCAACCACTAGTATTTCAGCACATATACATAAATCCTGCTCACATAAAACGACTCATCTGCGGGGACGTTTATGTGCCTCGTAACCCTGCGAAAAAATATAGCTCTGCCTTCGTCTGATCTCAACAAAGGGGTTGGAGATGCTCTAAGTGGGAACTCTCAAAAGCTGGATGCTTGTTCTTCAACGTGGAAGTAATTTCCCCCTGTCAGCTCTGTCTGCTTTCCCTGAAATTCACAACAACGTAAATTAGATTTGATTAAAAAGGGGGTTTGATTTATACATCTTCGCATTTAAAAAAGTTCTGCGTTTTATCTGTAAACTTACATCCCTGCTGTGAGCAAGAGCGGGGATGATGGGGGCCACCCCCACCATTTTATTCGCCCTCTAATACAAACAGTGGCAGCAGTAATAATCTCAAGGCGAATGTTCAAACTTTATAAACATTTTAATCTTTTATCTATTAACAATTACTTGACAACTGAAATGCTGTGGTTAATTATGCACATGAAATTACTAACATTAAAGTTGATATATACAGAATTCATGCTCTTTTCAGAACTAAATTTGTGTTATATGGGGTAAAGAGAAAATGATGTGTCTCTGCAAGTCATCTAGGAGTGAAATCAGAGATAAATAACTACTTTAATAATAACTTAAAAATCCATATACATTTTTTGATAAAAGTAGGTAAGTAAAGACAATGGAAAAGATGTTTGCCCCAGACATTTAGTCCACTATGCCTTTTATTTAGATGCCATGGATGTTTAAATATATGCATTTATTTGTTAGCAAAGGCTGTAGGAAAGTAGAGTTAGTTTTTATTTAGAAAATATGGATGTTGTGCTTGTTCCTTTTGGAACGGTGTAGATTAACCCTGAGGTTCTGGCGCCAATCCGCCCCAGTCTACATTGGTTATTGAATGGCCGCCCCTATGAAAATTTTCTGGCTACGCCTCTGAGCAGGAAAGGGTTGTATTAAACCCCCTTCCTAACATTTTTTTAGTCCCTGCATTTTATCCCTATGTTTTAACATAATAGAGTAGAAAATCCTTTATTTTTTTCCCAATGGGGAAATTCTGGAGCTCCATGAGGCTAAATATGCCTCTGACTTTTTATAACTTCAGCCCATTCAAAGCTCAAATGTTGTACATTTAAGAATTAATACTAATTGAATATGGGTTGTGCTTTGCTGAAAACTGGTCAGTAATGATGTCCACTTCTTTTTTTAATATTGGACATTGAAGAAACTGATGCATTTCACTTTAATGGAAGCTGTTTCAAACTGGATGTTCTTCCAAAGAGAATCCTGCAACTACATACAAATATATAATACATTGAATTTTCTGGTGTTTGTTGCAGTTCCTCATTCTACCTCAAGCTTTTGCTCAAACTACTGTAAAGAATGCAGCAAATTAGTTGTTTTCTCTTTTTTTATTTAACGCCTATACCTGTTTTAAACACATATAGACTACATTTGGGTCTTGCATGGTTCTCTCCTGCAAAATTTCATAATCCATCCAACAATTTTGCATTACGCTTTATCCCTGCTTGGGCCACGAGGGGTGCTGGTGCCTATATTCAGCTAATTTCATAATCCATGGGACAAGATTATAAAGCAAACTGCTATTTGATAGTTGGGACCGGATCAGATCTAAGTAGACCCACTATTTAGTTTATAGTTAAGTGATAGATAACCATCCATAATGTAAAAATACATGTAATAATTTTTAGAGCACCATTAAATGCTTACTTACTGTAGAACTGGTTAAGGAACTAATTGCTGGTTAACCGTTTGTTTCCCTTTTTTCATTCTATTGTGTCTTTAACAAATGTTTCTATGTAATATATTCAAGATATTAGAGTGAGGGAATAGTCAACTGAACATTAACTAACTTCCCTGATCCCTGATCTGATAAATACCCAAAAGAACATGAGGAATGCATCTATAAAGGGTTGACTAACTAATTAATGAACACTTTCTACTTATTAACTCACCTGTTTGTCACCTACAGGTTATTAAGCAAAGCTGGATCATGCATTAATCATTAAGTAATGTTAACTGCAAATGTAGCTTGCTAAACAAACTAAATCTGGTCGGTAAATAATTATTTAGTAAAAAGCAAATTAGCATTCAAGGATCAACTATTTATAGGGTACAAAAAAAAAATGGACCACGGTTTCACTATACTGTTATACCTGGTTAATAAATATTGCTTGGTTATTAAACAAAGTGGGATAAAGAATGAATAAGATAAAAGTAAGGGGGATAAAAGAGAGAGAGAAAAAATATGCGTGCAGTAAAAAAAATATGTGAGCAGTATTTATTGTCATTAGCTCGTTATTTCTTTAAAAAGTGACGACCCGTTTAACCACCTCATAAACCTTTGGGATAAGTTTAAGATCAGCAAAGCTGTGTTTGATGCAGATTTCCAATAATATTCATTTACAGTCCATTCTTACTCTGTTTTACTGTTTAAATATGATTAGTTAATTTGAGTTAATCACAAGTTAATCATCAGTTAGTTATTCATTCCTGATCCTGTTTGGGGTTAGAAGGAAAACTAAATGCTATTAGATCACTATTAATCCCCCTTACTTTTATCTTTTTAAAATGCTTTATGTGTATCTTGTGTTTCTTCTTTTATTTTTTATCTGTGATTTGTGAAATGTGAACGTGTGTGTGAAAGGTGTGCTACTACTGCACAAAAATTGCCCATACTGGAACAACTAAAAGCTACTGAACTGAACTGAACTGAAATAAAGAAGAAATAAATGCACTTTCCTCTATTTTCCATAAGAATTAAAAGTTAACCAAGTCAAAGGAAATCAGCAATAATTGAAAACAAAGCATACAGAGTAACGTAAAACAAGGACACACTTTCAGTTGTCGCGGAAACGTCTTAAATATGTTTGTATGTGGGTTTTTTCTCATTAACAGGTCACAAAAGGAGCCTCTTCTGACTGCATCTTCAGTAATGCCACCCCATGAATAATGCTGCAGAACTGGAGAGCTCCTTCAGTGACAGACCGATGCACCCTAAATGCACCATGGAGCATTATCACAGATTCTTCCTCCCAACAGCTGTAAGACTTTATAACCACCACTGTTCCCAACAACCTCAAGTTGTTACATTTGTGCTGATTTTCCACAGTTTCTTAGTTAAATAACATGCTGTAGTCATCTCTGATGTTGTTGCTATTTTCAAATATCCATTACTGTAAAAATGTCCATAGCTGTATAATGGTTATTTATTCTCCAGGTGCACAGGTTTTTATATTTTTAAAACATTTTACAGTGCAGTATTCTATTGTTTATATTTCAACTCTTCACTATTATGTTTTTCTTATATATTTTTCTAAGGTCCACATTTATGTGACAATTTTTTCTATAATCTTTTGCTGCTGTAAACACCAGAATTTCCCCATTTTGGCACAACAAAGGGATTTTCTATTCTATTTACTCTATTTGCTCACTTTTTCTTAAGTTTTCTTTCATGTCACCACAAGGGGGCGCTAAGTTCAAAAAGACAATACAAAGATAGTACTGTTAATGAGACTATTACAAAAGCTTTAAACCTGTTCTGGTGAATAACATCAGAAGAGGATCATTTCAAACTTGGTATGAGGAACATCTCACTTAGATTTTAAAAAGTTATAAATAAAACACATCTCACATTGATTCTTTAAACACTGTGATATCTTTATCAATAATTTTTTGATGATTATAACATCAACATTTATAAATTGTTGCAATGATGTAAAATGGAATCAAAGTGTAATGATTAAAAAATTATGGATAAATTCTTACTTTTATAGAGAAGCACTGTCGCATTCAATGTCCTTTGGTCAAACAGGGGGATCATTAGCAGATACATTTGCAGAAAGTCAGCTTTTAATGTTTGCACCACTTTTTTTGTTATAATCTGAGCTTTGAGCTGCTACAGTTTTACAACCAGAGCTGGAAAGTGCATCAGTGCCGCTCGTGTGAACAATTTGTAACGAGATGGGACCAGCACAGTGTGTGTGGGATGGAGATGTGGAGGGCAGAGCTGCCAGGGAGGTGTGTTTGGTGGGTGGGGATGCGGGGTGTGCAGACTCATCCCGGTGGCCTGATGTGTTCCCCTCCATCTCCACAGCAGTTTTCTCTTTTGGATACCTGACCAAAGCGCGTCCGGAACCACATCCCCCCCTCCTTCTATCGTTTCCCTGTTTTCTTCTCCTCCATCCCCCCGGTAGAGCCCCTCTTTCAGGCCCGGTGGCGCAGCGCGCAACGGCCGGGAGATGCAGCCGCGCACGGACAGCCGGCTGCAGCGGTGCGCCTCAGCTCCATCCGGACTCCAACATTTCGGACAGTTTTTAAAAATTTAAATCAACATTTAAAAAAAGGACTATTTCTTCTCGATCATTTTGAACTTTTTTGTCACCTTTTAATAGAAAGCAAAGCAAGGCGCGTTCAATGCGCAGCCATGCTTCTCATCTCGTCTCGCAGCGCGCTGCTGTCTGTCTACTACCCGCAGATCTTCCTCATCCTCACCAGCGGCAGCTACCTGTAGGTTCTTCTAAATGCGCATGCCTCAATGTCATGCGCCTTTATTTCCAGCAGCTTTACGCGCGGCTTCAACGTGCGTAATTCCTCAGCCAATTACGCACACAATTAGACTTGCAAGATAGCAAAAAAAACATTTTTTTCTCGTTTACTTTTACAAAACATAGTCATAATTTACATTTACTGCATATTTTGTCGCTTCATTGTTTCTGGAAAGCTTTGGAAGAACCGGTGGAAACACGCGCCGCTTTCTTTTCCCTCCTCTGTGGAACACAAGCTGCTGATTTCTCCTTTCTCCTCCAACATAACTGGCATTTTCATTCAGAAATTGAGCCATAAAACGGCTGAGTAAAAACCTGCTCGACTGAAGCCAACATTTAATCTCCTCGATTTCATATTTTCGGACCAGCTGATGAGATAACCTGCCTTCATGGATTTACACATTACACCAGAACCACTTTGTCTTGGAAGCACCTCGTCAGATTTGTGCCATTATGTGGGACTGCAGCATATGGAAAAGGATTGTATTAAATGATTACTTCATGCTCTCTTTATAGAAAGAGGGGCTTTGTTAGGAGCTCTTGCCATTTAGGCCTCTACATTAAGTGATTGCTGCACCATATTTGCCTTTCTTTAACAAGGACAGGTTCCGCCATGAAATCTGCACTATAAAGTAGAGGGGTTCATGCTTTCTGCTGTGATGCTGGCTAAAATGAGCTCAATTTGAAACCTATACGCTGAAATGTAATCCAACTTTTGGTATGAACAAATGTAGAGGTCATTTAGGTCCCTTATTTTCAATAAAGCACTGCCAAAATGTGAATAATGTCACAACTTCATGAAATTGGGCCATTTTTCTTGTTTAACAAGAATCTTTTCCACGTTTTATTACAAGTCTGTCCTTGTAAGGTGTGTTCGTGATCATCTTTTTTACAGGGCGCTGTCCTCTGTGGTTGCCCTGGGTGCCAACATCATCTGCAATAAGATACCAGGACTGGCCCCCCGTCAGAGGGCCCTTTGCCAGAGTCGACCAGACGCCATCATCGTCATCGGGGAGGGTGCCCAGCTGGGCATCAACGAGTGCCAGTATCAGTTCCGAAATGGGCGCTGGAACTGCTCTGCCCTGGGCGAGAGGACGGTGTTTGGACAAGAGCTGAGAGTAGGTCAGTCTTCTTGAACTTCTGTTGTGTGGTGGGATTAGGGGGTATTCTTTTAGTTTTAACAGTGGAAGATTAGTGAAGGAAATACCTGCAGCTCAGATGTAAGAATCCGTGACTACACAATAATTAGTCATGTACTATCCGGTCATTAAGGAAAAGGCTTAAGAAGACAAAAAATGTTTAAATTGTCTTAAGAATTCTAGTTTAAAATTTAACGTGAGCCAAAAAGATGATACAGGAAACAGGTGGAGGAAGGTCCAGGTCAGTCTAGAAGTTATATTAAATAAGAGTTATGATCAAGGAAAAAAAAACTATCGAAGACTGAAAAGAAGAATGTAAAGTCATGAGTTAGAATGCTCCAGTCAAAGTCCAGACCTAAACCTAACTATGAATGAAAATAGCTTTGGCGATACTACTGTATCTGTCCATCAGACTGAGCTTAAACTTTTTAGGAAAAAAGAACAAACAGCCAACGCCACAAAAAACAAGCTTCATTTCAAGGTTCTAATGCTGTCAGCAAGTGGAGATTTTCCCAAAGTGAGGGAAGCCTTCTTTGTGTCAAGCCCATCAGGGTTTGATCCCTAAAATTGATACCTGTAGTCTGCAAAACCTAAATATAAGGGTCTCTAGCCAACATTCTTTAAAATCTGGATACTTCACAAGCGCCTCTTTTGCTCCTGATGTGAACTTTCCTCATAAATTGTCTCAGGTCCAGAATGCTTTGTTGTGGTTTTGCAGTGGGTTTGAATACATGTATAATCTTGCAGTTCTGGAAGCTATTGCTTGTTTCTGTCTGGATCGCTTCCTTGTGTTCCTTTGTCATAGTAAAGTTTTTTTTCAGAGTAAACAAATTTAAAGTCTCTTCAAGTCCAACATTTTCCTCAAGTACTGTTACGAATTTACTGTCAGAATCCATTTACTAAGGGCTTTATCAAAACTAGTTGGGGCTAACAAGTTAGAAACCAGGACTATGAAGCAGTTTTGTGCGGTAAACGGATCTTAAGCAAGTTTAAAAAGTTGACCTTTAGGGTCAGTAACTTCATCTTGCTTTGAAAAAAGCCAGAGAGATTCATGCAAACCACTAATTAAAGGCAGCTCCAGCAGCTGGATGGCAACAATGGAACCCTGCATGCGCTGCCATTAAATCAAAACAAATCACAGTGCGAATAGATGGCTGTTTGGCCGCTGCTCACGCCCGATGCCTTGAGAAATGCTCAGCAGCGCCGCACAACGTATCCGAATAGCTCGTAGATTTAACTTGATGAGAGAAGACTTCAGCGTTTGTTTTGAGTTACGGGATGGGGGAAACCGCAGGGCTGATGGTTTCAGCGAAGGAGCTTGTCGTGTTGGAAGGTAGCCATCAGAACTGCCTCTTAAAGAGACGCCATGCATTAATACCCTGGCCTGTAGGGAGGAACACAGGCGCGGCAGTATCCTACAAGTGGGAGGGTATCCTGTTACCAACTTTTGTGCCTATAAATTAATTTTCCTCCCTCTCAGTCTATAAATATTAGACAGAAACAGAATGACACTCAAGCTGCATGAAAAATCCTATTAATAAAAACATTAAAAAACAGTGACTTAGTAAGGGCGAGTGAAAAAGTCAGTAGATATTGGTGTTTCCTTCAAAATATTGATAAGTCGTTTATCAAAAAAGCCTTTTAAACAATAGGAAATCTGCTGTTTGTGTTAAATACAACAGAAGCCATGATCTTAGAAAACTACATCAATCTGTGAAAGCCGCTTAGAAAACTTTCTCCATGGACCACCTTCTCTTGGCCTGTGGTGTACTAGAAGGTGTTTGCGGGTAAAAAAAGTTTTTTTTCTACCTGGCAATGGTCATAATGTTACGACCTACGGGTGTGGAAACATCCAAGATGGTAACCAAACCCTTGTAGCCGTTAACATCCCTGCAAACTCAACAGCTGAGACATTGTTTAGAAAAACTGCTCACACACCCCTCCGAAAAAGAAAAAAAAAAGTTTTAAGGCTAAAGAACTTGTTTGGCAAGTTTGACAAATGCAGGAACAGGACAGCAGACAAAGTGGCAAAGTCAAATCTGAATAAACCGCAAGATTCCTGGCTCTTTAAGACCAACTGGGCCAAAAGGGAGATTTTCAGACGCAGTATAGAGTGCCATATTTGGTGACTCAGACAGTTTTAAGAGCCTGTCATTTTTCCCCTTATTAGGGGCATACGGGCATCAGTTCTAGTCCCCTTAGACACTAGAAAAAGTGAGCCATCAGAAAAAACACTGGTGTTACTTAGACGTATTGAGATGAACATGGGACAATTATGTCATAAACCCATCGGAAAGGGATGGGTTCATGTGCATTATCTAGTCAATCCTATGTAATATCTAGCCATGCCTTGACCTATATCTTGTGGGGTTCAACCAAAAAAGGAGGGGAGTGTAGAAAGATGGTGGCGTGAGAGTATGGAAAGCGTTGTGGCTCAGTCCACCCCGTCATCTCAAAAGCCCTGCTGTTTTACAGCTTTTTAGAGACATTATAGGACATTTCATCGCCAAGAAATTGTGTTAACTTGCTAGGAAAAGGTCAACCTCAATAAAATTGCTTAAAGATTTCAGTTAGCATTTAGCTACACAGTGCTGCAAAGACATTTTGACAGAGTAAAAACCTGAAAAACAACGTTGAGCAATCAGTTCGTGAGGGTTTGTGGCGCCTAGCATAAGTCTAGACATGAAACCAATTGATACACAGTGGGATGGCCCTAACCAGGCCACTCTCACCTCAAAAGCCACAGATGTACCTGAATTAAAACTTTTTTTTCTTCTTTTGAACAAGGGACAAAGCTTCACGCTTATATAGTGACATAAAAAGACTCATTGCGAATTATGGCAAATGCTTGATGGCATTTGTGCCACCAACAGTGGCATGACCAGTGATAAGGGGTCAGTTATTTATTTATTTTGTGTAGGTTGCGGTTAGTTGGGATTGCTTTTTTTCATTAATAATGAAATATCTCCTCTTAGTGTGATGTTTAATTTGAAGATCCATGTGGGGGAAAGAGCAAAAACAGATTAAAGTGAGCAAATACTTTTGAAAACACCCAATATCTAATTTGTGTAAAGAGAAATATGTACTGCGTTCCCAACTTTTCATACAATTATCAGTTCTATTTACTCTCCTAGACCGTCGTGTTCTGGGTCAAATCCTAACTGATAACACATTGCTGTTTTACTTGTGCCCTCTGTTAATCCCAGTTGATAAATCCAACATTCTCTAATGGGGTTAAGATGAAGATTTTCTTGATGAGTCCCATAATGCCTAAGCCATTGAATCTCAATGGGAATTCAAACAAAAATTCTAATTCAATGCACTTTACCGAGACAAAAGAGTCAGGTTGGTTAAAAGTTTCTGTCAAGGAAATACAGTTGACTGCATCAAGTCATTGACTTCCAAGACGTGCTCCTCCTGAATGAGCTTGTGGCGACAATTTTTGCTTGCATTTTGTGACTCACACTGAGCATGCATGCAGCAACGGTGGATTGGAAAAACTCCCCTTTAAAAATGAAGAAACCTCCAGCAGAACCAGGCTCAGTGTGAGCGGCCTTCTAAAGAGGCCAACTGGGGTTCAAGGAGACAGAAGCAAATACATATGAAAGGTAAATGTTGACTAGCACCACTGGTGAACCCGTCCAGGAACGACACAGCCAGGCAGATGAGCTCCAAGCCAGCTCCCACATCAAAGTGAAAGTAAAGCCACCAATCCTCTCAGAATCTGTGTAGGAACGAGGAGGCTGAATCTTGGTTCCATAACAGCACTCCGAATAGTGCCAGCATCATCTGTGGTGATGCTGGCTTGTACCGCTTTGAGGGAGAACACGCTGATAACAAGAACAGTTGGGGGCAGAGGGACAAACAGGAACTCACTTGGAGGCAGATTCTCTGTCTTGTAATCCCAGGGGATTTCTTGTTCAGGGGACATAAACACAGTCAGAGCCAAGAAGTTTGAAGCAGAAGGTATCCGAGGTGAAGACAAGAATTGGTTGTCAGGGGGCAAAATCCAGGAATCAGAAAGCTCAGAGTAGTCCGGTAAGGGCATGCATAGGTGTGGAATCATTTGAAAGAATTATGATTTAAAACTCTAGATTAAGGAGAGAATAACCCTACTGGTGTTGTTTGTTGTCCACCCTTGTATGTCCTGCTGAATTTCATTGTGTTCCTGATATCTTACAGAAACACAACTTTCTACATGGCAGTAATTATAAGTCTTTCCTTCACTGTTCACTATTGTTCCAGGTTTACAACGCTTAGAGGCACAATTTTTTTCTTTAGCATATCCAGAAAAATCCAAGTACAGTACTTTGGCTAGCTACAAGACTTTTAAGTACTCTATTATTTCATTTCTGTCCTCCTTTCTCTAGGCAGCAGGGAAGCGGCATTCACCTATGCCATCACAGCTGCTGGAGTTGCACATGCGGTGACAGCCGCCTGTAGCCAAGGCAACCTAAGCCAATGTGGCTGCGACCGTGAGAAGCAGGGCTACCATGATCGGGAGGAGGGCTGGAAGTGGGGGGGCTGCTCAGCGGACGTCAAGTACGGCGTGGAGTTTTCAAGACGATTTGTAGACGCTCGCGAGATCAAGAAAAACGCCCGCCGGCTAATGAACCTCCACAATAACGAAGCAGGACGAAAGGTAATGCAATGAGGTTTTATTGCTAAAAAAATGGAGCTTGACTTGAACTTTGACACCCAAGTAACCCATGAATTTACGTTGGCTTGCCAGGTGTAGGATCTCAAAATACTTGATGTCCTACAACAGGAGGAACATTAACTTTGAACAAATGATGCTTATAAATTTCTTGAACAAAACAGCAATATGTTTAATTATTTCCCACCCATTTTCCCCACCCAGAAGTCTCAGACTGCAACTAAGTCACAAGAGAGAAAGCAAGAGAAGGTACACAAATGGTTTGACCAGCTAGTCACTGCAGAAGCCACGTTATAAATAATTTTGAGTTTTTTTTTTTTTAGTAGCTCATCATTTCTTCATGATCCAAAAACTAAAAAAATCCTACTTACTTCAGCCTCTCGATAGTTAGTTTGAAGGAGTTACATTTCCTCAGACTTGGTCTGTTTGCATAGCAGTTATTAGGTTTGGACGTGGCATAAAGTTCAGCTCACCATGATGTCGCAATGACATAATAACTTTCTTATTTAAACAGTCTTATGGCCAGTGTTGTCTTAAAAGTGTAAGCCAGACATTACCCAAGCCAGAACTTGAGAGCCACTGTCCTACAAGTTTTAAAGGTTCCATTGCTTTAGCTTCGCTGGTTTCCATTGATAAGTGATTAACAGGCTTTTGCTGAACTGCAATCATCGTAATCAGCTTTGGACGGCAGCCCTGTTGAGTGCTATAACTATTATTACTCAGTTCTTACATTATATATTTAGTTAACTCAGTCAAGTCTGCCAAACTTTAGCATTTAGGACTTGTTTAAGCAGCAATGCATGCATTGACATATTATTTAGTCTGGTGTGAATTTAAATGGTCTGTCTCTTTGCAGTAGCTTCAATTAAATAAGTGATTATTAAATTTATTAATGATTTTTTTTTATTAGTTGTAAGAAAATATGCTTAGGAAGAGCCAGCACTGTGAACTTCACCACAAGGGGAATTCATTGGATTACAATGCCATAATGGGCTGCTCAGTGACGCAGTGGTAGCACTGCAGCAAGAAGGTTCTGGGTTCAATTCCTGGCCCTACCTTAATAGAGTTTGCATGTTTTCCCTAGTTGGGGTGGGTTCCGTCTAGGTACTCCAGCTTCCTCCCACAGTCCAAAAACATGAATTTTAGGTCAATTCGCTCCTCTAAATTCTCCTTATGTGTGCGTGTGTGCGTGAATGGTTATTTGTACTGTTTGATAGACTGGCGACCTGTCCAGGATGTACCCCGCCTCTTGCCTTTAGACAGCGGGAGATAGGCAACAGCCCCCCTCACTGCCCCAGCAGGGATGAAGTATGACAGAATATGGACGAATTGACAATGCCATATTCATCTATAAAAATATCTAACCACATCTTCTGAGAAGTCTTTCTGGGAGGCATATGGATAACTACCTTTGCTAATGACTTTTTACTTCAAGCTCCTAACTTTATCTCTAAAGGAAGCTTGTATCTTGCATCTGGTTAATAATCCGCATCTCATAGTCACAGGTGAATGCTAGAAACTGGAGGAACTAGTAAAGAGAGCCTTCACATTTTAGCTCTGCTCTTTCCTCACAGAGTGAGAAACTGCAGCTGTTTCCTTTCTCCTGCATCCATCCAGAACTGGTGAACAAACCAAAAACAAACCAATGAAGTCAGATCTGAGAATATCCTTCCAATCCCCCCCCCCCCCCCCTTCTTCCTCAGCAAGCACACTTCGGCATGGGTGCACACACCGGCCCAGCCAAAATCCAGAAACTCTTCCAAAACTTTGATACCTGTCAAGAGCGAAGACGCAATCCGCTGATTTGTATAATGAAGTGTACGAATGAGAAGCCCTCTGTTATTACAGCTTCAGTTCCTGAATTACAAAAAATATATATTAGGAATGGATCTTGATCAAAGGAAGTTTGTTTTCCCCCCTCTTCACACTGAAATCAATCACCTGACTTTTTTGCCATTTTAATGTATTTGTAGGACATTATAATCTATATCTGACAGCCATGTAAGACTATACACATGTAGGGTTATGCAACAGTTCAGTCCTCTCCTGTCACTCCATGCTGTGGTCTGAGGAAAGGTAATGTTAATTAGAGACTCAGCTTAAAGCTACGAGGTTTCCCTTGATTTTTGGACACAAAGTTGGCTTTAAAAGCTGCTGCACTGGAAGTAAAAGTGGCCACAAAAATCCCAACCTCCCCCCAAAAAGAGCAGACTTAACTATTTACAATGACGTTACATTTATCTTCCAGGTTATTTTTTCAGCTTGTGTTAGTATATTTTTTTTACACATAGTATTAACTCTTCTTTGCAAGCAGATCCTGGAGGAAAAAACCAAGCTGGAGTGCAAGTGTCACGGCGTCTCTGGTTCCTGCACCACCAAGACCTGCTGGATCACCCTGCCCAACTTCAGAGAGATTGGCTACCTTTTGAAGGAGCGCTACACGGAGGCCGTTCAAGTGGAGCCCGTCCGTGCTTCACGGCTACGCCAGCCGTCCTTCCTGCGCCTTAAACAGGCTCTGGGCTACCAGAAGCCCATGGACACGGACCTGGTGTACCTGGAGCGCTCTCCGAACTACTGCGAGGAGGACACGGTCACGGGGAGCCCAGGGACGAGAGGGAGGCTGTGCAACGGCACCTCCACGCACACAGATGGCTGCAACGTGATGTGCTGCGGCCGGGGCTACAACACACACCACTACACGCGTGTCTGGCAGTGCAACTGCAAGTTCCACTGGTGCTGCTTTGTCAATTGCAACACCTGCAGTGAGAAATCAGAGGTTTTCACATGCAAGTAGATGCACGGAACAGGGGGACTCGTAAAGCCAAGGACTTAAGGATATTTATAAATTTTGCACATTTTGGCATCCTATAGAAAAAGGAAACTCACACCAAGTGTGAGTTTTGGGATTCTCCAGGAGAGACAGAGACAACCATCTATGACAGCTTTTATACTGTTGAACATTTTTATATAAAAGCCACAAAACTTCTAGAGATATTGTTGGGATTTTGTGAAATAGACCCGCACAAAGAAATTAAGTTGTATATTTTTTTCATAATCATGTCTCCGCCAGCTTTTGCACAGCAATCAATATACATTTTTTTGTAAATTCGATAAATCAGAGTGGATTTAGGTGTGAACTTTGACTAGGCCACAATCACTGCAGCTTTGGTTTTGATGTTTTGAGGCATTGCCCTAAAGTAAGATAAACCAATTCATGATGCAGTAATCATTATATATCTCTGCAGAGATGATTGCCTTCAGGGTGAAAGGTTAAAATGTTTATTCAGGTCTTATCCAATGGAAGCATGCTCTTTATCCCCCATAGAGTTTGCAAAAAACAATTGAACATCGTTGGTTCTCTTTCAAACGTGGCTTTTTCTTGGAAATCTCCCATATTGGCCAAATTTGTGGTGCAAACAGCTTCCAGTTGTTCTGTTGGCAAAAAACAAAACCAACACAAAAGCAAAAACTGGAATATATGATGCTGGCCCCACTGTGCTCATTCTCTTCTTTTGGTCATGATGATATTAGAGTAAACTGGCCAAAGGACCTTCTTCTTGTTTGTTGAGTGTGATGAGTTCTCTGGACTTCATGGTTCCGTTTTTCTTATCACTGTTCACTAACGAAAAGCTAAATGTATAACAAGAAGTACACACAAGTATACTTTATTTCCTAGGTGGGCGATTACCTTCAGAAAGGAATTGGGATTGCTATATTTTATTTTGCAGTGTCGGAGTAAATGGGGATAAATACAGATTCATAAATCAATTTATAGACTCTAATCTGCGGGTGAAATTCTATAAATCCACACAAAGATTTCTATCCATTATTATGCACTTATTTATGTTGGTCTACCACATGAAATAATAAAATACGCTAAAATCTGTGGTTGAACCGAGACAAGATGTGTGAAAGTGTAAGAAGCTCAATCATTCTTGTAAGGGATTTTATTCATTACTGGTAAAAAAGGCTGCAGTTTTAAAGGACCTGGGATTTTTGGGGGTTATTTTCAAGATGAACGATACGTTAAGGAGGACATAAGGAAACTGAACATTAGAAATTCACGCAGGACTGCCCTGGAAGAAGCCAGGTTTCATAATGAGGCATCTTCTCACACTGTATTCTGTTCAAACACTGAAAAACATGAGTATTATTTCTGTAAAACATGCTTTCTCTGAAACATCACAAACCACCCAAACATATGTCCTCCACTATGATCCCTATTACCTATTTAAAGTGAGCTCTAACTTTTTTCAACAAATTTAGATGGTCACTTTTCTTTATTTTGTCGTAGGACATAAGAGTTGTTGTAAAAATGGCACATTTTACATATAAACCACCATCCCATGGCCGGAGCGCATTACTCTCAGCTTCCAACTTGAATGGCAGTCCATCCTGACTGTGCTCATTGTCTTGCTGTTGGACGAGCCCCTGCTCTGCAGAAAACCACCCAGGCCCCCTGTTTGGAAATCCATGTTGGAGCAAACGGGTCCAAAAACATGCAGCATTCCCGTGAGCGGACTGAGACGCAGAATTCCACACAGCAGCCTCTGCTTACACAAAGCCTTCCAGCGTGGTTTAGGTCCGCTCAGGCGAATGGCACGGGACCCTAACCACATGGAAAAGGGGGGAGGTGGGTAGGAAGGGATCAAAGGCTCCTATGCCGTTTCTGTACAGCACCCTTAATGTATTTAAAATTGTTTATTTAGGCTTTGTATGAGTTACAAAACAATTTGAAGAGTATATTTTTATATGAGGAACATGGCACTTTATGTCATTTCTAGTTGGAGAAAGAATGTTATTGATCTCATCTTATTCATATTTGAAGTAGATAACTTATTTGGAATGTATGTGATTTTGGAATAAAGGTCATGAAATGTAAAATATACCTTAAGGGGGATTGCCCGCTTAAAAGAGAGTGATTTACTTTTGAAAGAAGTTCATAAAAGCTAAGTGACAGAATGAGTTATTCTAGTGAAGTTCCCGGAAACACCACACACATCTTAGTGGTCAGTAAGATCATGGAAAAGTGGGTTTATTTCAGCGACTGACTTCGAAATTGAAACTGATGTATTGCTGGATCCATGGCACTTAGATGAGCATATGTCACGTCTTCATTTCTGGTCATATAATGGTTATGTCTTACAGCTAATTCTGAGCCAGAAGAAAATGTAAATACACCAATAAAAAAAAAAAAAGATGAAAAATATCCTCCATAAGGGTGAGCTGCTAAACTCATTGGCAAAGAGGGGTTGCATCTCAGCATGGTAGTGGAAAGTTAGGTGGAAGGAAAACAACACAAGGGACAGAAATAACAGCCAATTTAATTAGCTCTTTTCAGTTTGGAGAATTATGAGGCAGTGACTGCAATTTAATTTTTGCTTCAAGATTCACATCACAGAGGTATCCTGGACATGGGATACCTCTAATGTAAAGATATATTAGAGAGGACATCTGTGGTGTCTTATCCAGGCTAAGGAAAAAAAGGATTTAACTATTGCTTATTTGTCCAAATTCCCCATAGAATAACTCCACCGTATTCTGGCTGCAGTTATCTTCTTCCTTGCATCAAATTTTGCATTACTATTCTTAGATACAGGACTTAAAACATGTGGCTTTTGTTGCTTACCCACCTTGCGAATGATGTCAGTTATTGCTCGGCAGCTTTCAACTCCAATCTTTCTCATCCTTGCGCAAATCAGAATAAAACCTTTTTTTTGTTTGTTTAAATTGTTTAGTTTTTTAAGGTTTTAATATGACCAATGGATTTTTAGCTGTAATAAATGATTTATGAGACTAACTGGGGGAAACAAACTGCTGTTTAAAGAAAAAAGTCTGAGTTTAATTTCAAAGCTTGCCTTTAATGTACTTATTGAATCAAGATTTATTTGAACATACATCATTTCCAGGCTTTACTATATAGAACATTGTATAATGTAAGGCAATCTTTATGGGGTGCCAGTGGGGACAATGCAGCAGAGGCCTATGATGTAAAACGCTGATACCGAAAATAATAAAGTTCTTGCACCGTCTGATTACTTAGATGAACGCCCCCGGGTTCCATTCCTGCCACCTCTTTCAGCGCCAGCTGATTTCCACGCCACTCTTTCCTGTGGGGCTGAAAGGCTTTGTGGCCGTCCAGTGGAGCGTTAGTAATGGCTGTTATGTTAGCCGTCTGAAATCCTGGTGAAGCTGAGCCCTATAAGCTCCCTCTACTATGCTGCCGGGTCGGCAGGGAAGCCCATCCGATTGTTTCAACCCGTTTTGTCATTAAAATCAGAGGCAGAGCAAACAGGGTGGAGCAGGGCGTGGGCGAACCCGGATAGCTCCGCATTGTGTAGTTGTCAGAACTGTTCAGCTTACTGAGCGGCAGGAGGAGCGCAGGAAGGAGCATCATTCTGCAAACTTAGCACTTCTTATGTGATTCCCTCTGCTTTTCATGCATTCCTACCTCTAATCTATAGATAGGCATTTCTAGAACATGCAAAGGCTGAATATGAATTTCTCTGAGGCGAGACAGGCTATTTAAATTAATTTTTAATGAGATAACTAAAAATTTCAGCAGTTATCCCATATGGAAGATGTATCAGAAATCCCAAATGCAGATTACCAAACCCTTTAGTGCTAAATCTATTAGAAATTCAATATTTAACTCCATGTTTTTGCATCTTAAAACTGCAAAACAAACATTTTGAGCAATTAAACACAAAGAAAAATGTCAAAAGATAGGAACCACACAAAGATGTGTACAATTCCTTCCTAAAATGCTGCATGATCTCACACTAAAAAAAGGGGAAAAAATTGAGGTCCTCTTTAGGCCCTTGTTATTTAAACCCTGAGGGATTCTGTTGATCCGACTAAATTACCCAACGATTATCCTGTTTTTCAATATGGAGTTAAGAGTCTTTATAACAGTCACATTACAAAAAGTTCTTACATTTCAACAGGGATCAAAGGCTTGTTTTGTTTTTTTTAAATCATATCTTAACTGTTTTTTTTAACCAAATCTGCCAAAAATATCAAATCACAATTTCAATTGTTTCTCCCTTTGATGCAGACTCTAGGCCGCCTTAGAGTCAACTGGATGAGCTTTTACCGCTTCTTTCTCAACTTAAATTTCCAAACTTCTCAATTTTCAAATTCCCTGTTCTTTATTTAAAAAAGTAAAGTTGCTGAAAAAAATAAGGATAATATTTCTGCAACAGAGAGGTTTAAAATTATAAAGGGGAGAAGACAAGGAGAGAGAGGAAATAAAGGGTCAAACGAAGGCAGGGCGGCAAGGAATAAGGGACAGAATGCCTGAAGAAGGCATAAACAAGGCAAAATCAAAAGAAATGATGCAAGTAATAAAGGAAAGGAGGCAAGGAGGGTAGGAAGCAAGTGAAAATAAAGGAAGGATATAAGTTTATAACAAATAGAAAGGTGTAAACATATTTTTAATATAGCAATAGTACGATTTATCTTAAAGGTGTCTAAAAGACGAGAGGAGTCTCTTATGTCCTCAAAGAGAGATTTTTCTGGGCAGCAACAAAAGATCAATCAACTTTGAAGCTTTTTACATGTTTTTAACAGAGATTCCAATAAAGGTTCTATTGTTTTTTTTATTGTTTCCAGAAAAACTGCTTCACTTTGTTGCGTCTTCCGTCCCTCAGTCAAAGCTTAAAGTTTTTTTCTAGTGTTCAATGCTTTCTTATTACAATACTAATAAAAGGTCTGGTCGGACATGCAGTTATTTTAAGCGGTTTAATAAGTAGAGCTTCATGATATTTTAATTAGGTGAGGCCACGAGGGGGTAGATTACATCATGGTTTAGACATTCTCTTTCATGGTTACGGCAAAAGCCACGACGGGTCTGAGATTAAACTCCAGCTCCTGCTGCTGACTTGACCGTGTTTGAAAAGCCAAAAAAGCCTCGACCCTGTGGTGCTCTTGTTTTTGGATTAAACCACAAAGACCTCGACATCTCTAGAAGGTGCCAGCGTGTGTTTGCCACTCACAGACTCCTCATTTCCCACTCGGATCAGGGCAAAGCAGGAGCTCCTGACATCCTGACCTCAGGGGCTTTCTATAACTGTGCTGAGGTAGAAAAGTTTTCTTTTTAAGACTTTTCTGATTTATATTTTTGAAGGAAAAGCATCTTAATTTGGTAAATACAGAGTGCAAGCTTAACTTGTCACTCTTTAGCTGCTCTGCATGAAAATCCACTGTTGTCTTTAGGAGTCTTTTCTCACAGATTTAAGCAGTAAGCTTCCATCTCGCTCTTCAACGAGGAATCCCAGCTCCCTGAGGGCAGAGTAGTCTGCCGGGCCACGTCTCTTCAGAGAAGCCACCAGCTGCTGGCTCTGCGGGTTGTTTTCTAGAAGGTTCCTGATAGCGAAGATGGCCCACTGGCTGATAACTGGAGGCAGTCGATTAAGGAAAGAAGAGCTTTAACCAACATCCTGCTTTAACCATCCTATTTAACAAAAGTATCCCCATACTTTGAATGCTCCATTTTGCTGCATCGCAAACAAAACCTTTGAGGGATTTTAATCTAAACAACAAAACTAACTAAAGCATCAATGTCAAGAAAATTAAGTTGGTTTTAGAGTCTTGTACAAAGAAAAATAAGAAGAGCATCCATTTTTTCCCCAATCAGCCCACTTGTATCAATAATTCTGCAGGGTCTTATTTCGTTTTTAATAATTTTTAATTATAAAAACCTGACTGCATTGGTGCACTGTGAGGTTTCCTGCAATGTTAGAACCAGAAATCTATTTGAAGACTTCAAATTAAAAGCAAGCTAGCTCCCTATCACAAACAAGTGTTATGCTGGAAACTTATTTACACGCACAATTCCACTTCCCATTAAACTCCTATCTGGAATAATAGATATGGGCTACATAGAAATAAGTTTCTGTATTTGGATCACTGGATGGAAAAGGGCAATTGATCTATAAACATTTTCTAAACGACAATGGAGGTTGGCTGTCCTATGAGGATTTTGGCTTACTGTATAATTTAAACTGTTCATATGCCCATCTTAACAGTCATAAACCCTAATCTGGCAGCAAAATCATGCTGCTCGCCATTTCCGAAGGCTTTGAATAGAACTTCTGGAATAAACTTCCAGTCCTGACAGTGCAGGAGACCCCATTTTGCAGGTCTGCAATGAAGGGTCCTGACAGTAAAGGTTTGTAGCCAGTCTGTCTTAGATTAAACTGACAAATTATGTTATGTTATGTTATTTTCCCAAATTTTGTCACTTCTTGAATTTCAACTGATAACGATTTTGAATGTTACTTCCTTAAACTTGCAGAAATACTGATAACTTCATTCTTTCAGTTAATAAACTTTACAGATATGCAGTTGTTCTGAGGACGTTCTGAGGCAACTAGACCACATGGTGAAACATGATGGAGGCAGCGTCATGCTGTGAGGATGCTGTTTTTTTTATTAGGATGCAAAAACACTGCTTAGAGGAAATATGTTTTGAAGGCTCAGACGGGTGTAATATCATGGTTCAGATCTGAGAATGTTCATGTGCGCATTGTTTACTTAAAGGAATGGAGGGGAAAAAAATTAGATTTGCAAAACTCAGATATTTCCTAAAAGAATTCATGTTTAAACTGCAGAAGAAGTTTTTCAGTTTTTTTTTTTTCTATTTTGTAAAAACGAAAAACGATTAAAAACCATAAACTATTTTTTCTTCCCAAAACCAAAATGATCTGAAATATGTATCTACCCATAACAACATGCTTCTTCTCTGTTCTGGTATGGAATCCCTACAACCGGGTAAAACAGTAGTTTTCTTTCTCAGGATGTCAAACTCTTGTCCGGATTGTGTTTGTCTTGGGTCAAGGAGAACACAGCCATCCCAACCCAAACAAAGCAGTTTTGAAGACATGTTACACATCTCCGCTTTCTCCTCTAATGTTTCCCACACTTTTCTTGAACAATCTTTTTGTTTTTGAAGAGAAACACGGTCTGACAACACAGACAGGCAAAGGGAGTTAGCACCATTTACCGCAGTCTGGGAGGCCTACATGGGAACAAAGGATCAGCTCAGCCTCCACTTGTAAAAAGGCAGTCTCACAGAAAAATCTGTTGTTGCAAACTAAAAATAGCGGCTGTGTTAACAACCAGCAAGGTTTGGGGTTTAGAATTTGGTCCTCTGATGTAGGATAGTCTTAGAACGTTTTACTTGCTGCTTTCTTGACTCTTCAGCCTCAGTGTTGCAGATCCAAGAGTCATGTAGATTTCTGCACCGCTATCATCAGCCTTCCTAAGCACAATTACCGTATTTTCTGGACTATAGAGCTTTTAGAGACTTTGATATCCCTTTCTGGCAGTTAGGAAAAAACAGAGAAGCTGCACCTTCTTACAAGCCAAATGGTTCAAAGCATGTGAAAAAATAAAAGTCTTATATAGTTTGGAAAATATGGTATTTTAGCATGCTGCAGAGCTTTGTGTGAATACCCGAGTGCAAAAGAGGTAGTGCCAACGATTATACCTACTAACTAACTAATAAAATAATTGTTGGGATTATTTTTTTGGCATTCATGCATGTTCTTGTTAAACCCCAATATCACCTACCTGTTAAGCCTGGCCTACACTACGCAATATTTTCAATAGTTGCACGCAGCTACAGCTTAAACTGTATAATGAAACCGTAGGATTTAGATGTTCACAGCTCACAATGTTTGTTCTAACAATGTACGGCTTGACACACTGATGCAATCTAACTGCTCCCACCCACCATCAAGAAACCACACATCTGGCGCTGATTGGACTCGTCAATCTGGAAGAAAAACAAGAACTCCCTTTTTTGTCCATGCGCAGTGTTCGAGGTTGCAGTAAATCGACACGTAGCTCTGCTTTAACAGCAGGATTTGTCCACGAACACCTCACAACGGCTGACTGAATTTCAAACATGTTTGATTTTCTCCCAACCTTACGATTCGCGATCGGGACGTGGTCGTAAGAGGCCGATCACCCCTCGTTACCCCCTGTCTACTACACAAAGCAGGATGCACGATGAGGCTGAAACTAAGCCCGATCGAAAAAATTCTTGCACGACTGGAGAATCGGCCAGAAATAGGCACAAAAAAAAAATCGTACAGTGTATGCCTGGCTTTAAGTATTAAGGCTAATGTTTGTTAAAGCAGTTTATGAAGTTAAGTGTTTTCTGTCACTGCGCATTCAGATTTAAATATTGAACATATACTTCACATAATGCAAAAGAAAGCTTCTTTGTTTTAGTATTAATGCACAGTTTGGAGGTGTGTGCACTTCCTTGCTAAAAAAAACCTTTCAACAAAAGTGGAAAAAAAGGTTGAAATTTGATCTCTATACATATTTTTGCCTTTTTTGGGGTTCACACTGCATAAGGTTAAACCAGGGGTGTCAAACTGGTTCCAGAAAGGGCCGTGTGGCTACAGGTTTTCTTTCCAACCAAGCAATAGCTCACCAGACCCCAGTCATCTCATCAAGTGAGTCCAATCTGAACATGATGTCTTGATAAGATGAATGGAGTCTGGTGTGCTATTGCTTGGTTGGAAAGAAAACCTGCAGCCACACGGCCCTTTCTGGAACCAGTTTGACACCCCTGCGTTAAACTGTTGCATTTCTTTTTTTTTCACAATGCATCCCCATAAAGATTATGTAAAAAGGAGTATACGCATTTTATTAATAGATTTTAACAATCTATGAAAATCTCTCCTATGCATCAATTCCACAAACTGATGGGTAACAAGTTGTGTTTCACTAAAGCAAACATACCACCATGTTTCAAACCTTACAAATTGTGGCATATTAAAGTAAGTAGTTGTAGAAACAGACGGATAAGAGAAGAAGAATAAAAAACGTGCAGGATCCCACATTTAGAAAGGATACAAGGATTGTTTCCGTCTATGTTGCAGTTGTCCAAGATGAGTGGGATGCCATCCAGGTCTCTCACCTGAGAAGGTAACATTGTAAAGGAAAAATATTTCATCAAATTACTGCAGACTTTTTAGTTACTTAAATCATCTATCGCTTTAGGAAACAAATTATGACATTATAATCATCTGATCTATTTATGACTTCTGATTTTTATTTCCATTTTAGTTTGAATTCATATATTTTTTTAGCTAATTTAGATTTAATTTTTTTAAGACAAAATTAGTTGTGTTTTTATCCATTTCAGATATAGATTTATGAAAATGCTTCCCTTTCTTAACCCATGTACCCCTTTGGGCATTTTTTCACTGCATAGAACGTACAATAACAAATTATAAAATAAAGACAATTTTACTTTTAATTTGAGCATTTAATTCTTATAATTTTATGCTTTTCATTTCAAAATCAAATTTAAAAAAACAACATAAATATGTTGCCTGGAAGTTCGTAAGGAATTGAAATAGATACAAAATAAAATCATATAATAAACCTGGATTTATAAATCTGGAGCTCCTCTGAGAAACTCCCTTGTAAATACATTTAAATTTGATTAACTGGGAACAAAATACTGAACAAAAATTGTAGTCAGACTTAATTGGTTTTACTTCGATTTCATCAAAACACCTGAGCTGCTTTGATGAGCTTTAATAGCTCAGAGTGAAAAACAGCTGATAACAGGCTGTTTTCTACATCCAGTCTGTTCCTCTGCTTCATTCTAATGTTTCTCAAAGCTGAAGGTGATCTCAAACATATAAGAAAAACTTGCTTTTTGGTTGATAAAAGCTTGTTTAATTTTTAATTAGGTCTTTACAAAGCAAAACAGATCTCAGCCCCATTTTTACAACCTAAGAAACAAAATATTTTTTTAGGTACCCCTTGCAATGCACAGACAGACCACTAGGGGTATGCATACGCCTGGTTGGGAAACATTGCTTTATGCAATACGACAAGACAAAAAAAAAGAAAAAAGAAACAATAATAGAAATAAAATCCCAGATAAGGACAGGCTGCTTTAACAGCACCAGCTAATTGTGTTAAAGGAAACTTGAAAAAAAGACCATAAATTAATCGATTATGATAAAGACACAAACGAAAAACGAAGCACATTCTCTCTTAAAATTCAGTTCGCTTTAATTTGTCTTGCCTTATTACACTTTCTCTTCAGGCTTTTTCGCTTTTTAAAAGCTTTTATTTCATTTTTATTCCAACTTAACAAAAAGGCTTTTAAGTTTTCCTTATTTTGTTATTTTTAGATAACAATAATAACCTTTGCCTAATTACAACTTCTAATTTTATAATCCTATACTTAGAAGTATAACATTTAATTTCAGTCTGACAGGGCTTCGTCCTGTCCAGTTTGGGTTCATTTTTAAGGTGAGAAAATGTATGTATGTATTTTCCTAATACTCTGTTGCTTTAGAAACGTTAAAGAGACTCAAATCAGATTGCACCTTGAAAAATCCATTCTTCACTAAGACTTTTCCCAGCATCTAATGAAATAAACAAAACCTGCCTCTGCTGATTACTCCTTTGTTTAAATTCCCCAACATTTATTACCCTCTCTTTATAAAACCCAGTGGATTTTAAAATGGTGAAACATAGAGTTGTCTTTAGCAGTGCCTCAAATGTAAGGAAAGGCACCAGTGTTAGTCTAAGACCACCACACTGGGGGATCTGCTCTTCATCATGCGTCTGATCCTATAGGCTGATGACTGTGTGTTGCCATTGTGGTTACCCTCCAAACAGCCTGGCAGGGAGCAGGAGAACAAGAGCGTTTCAGAAAATGGAATAGTCATTTAGATGGTCTAAGAAGCTCGTGTCTGTGCTTCTCTCCGCTCTGAGAACAAAAGCTGCTTACATTACGTCCAAACCCATAAAGGGATGAATAACAAGCGAGCAGACCCCTTCCTTCAGACCGGTACGAGCCGTTCAGTGCTTCACATGCACATCTTAAATTACCCTCCCTGCCAAAAGGTGAACAGAATGACATTCGGTTTACTGGAAGAAATCCTCGTGAAAACAGATACGGGGGTGATTTCTGACCGCTGACGGACCACAGATCAGCATCCATAAATATTACGGAGAGGCCAGCTGAGGGTGGTCATCCCACAGGCATTCCACAAATCTCTTTCTATTAAGTACAACTGGGTGGATGGAGAGGCCGGCTCTTCCCTGACTGCTTCCTTATCTGTCTGCTAGATGCTGGCAGGCGACGTAGAAGTGAAGCTGATAAGATCTCTAGAAGTAAAGCAGTTTCGGGTTGAAGTCGACGAGAAAGGAAGATGAAAGACAGGACTGTCCGATTTAGATGAAAAAGAGGGGGAATCTAAAATCCTAGAAAAGCAAATAGAACTGATCTTTAAACATCTTGTTACTTTACACGTGTCATTTATAATTCAGACCTTGTTCTGATTGGCGGCGTTGTTGTGGCAGAGGTTTCCTATCAGCCTAATGAGGTGAGCCTTAAAGCTGATGACTGGAGAATACGAGGATGGGTCATCCTCTCCGGTAAAGGAGGAGAAGCTCTGAGTGGCGCTGAAAATATTCTTGCTGGATTTCCCAATAGTATGCACTTGCTGCAGAAGCCCTGTAAAAGAAAAAAAAAAAAAGGATAAACAGAGAGAAAAATACAAACTTCAGCAGTTTATTCTCTGTGTATTTAGCTGGTTTGCTGAAAACTTTTCTCTCCTTTTGCATTTGTGCTGGGCTTTTATTGCTTGTGCACACTGAGGAGGCCTTCTGGCAGGGGTCTTAAGTGTCTGTCCTGATGGGGATTTGATGGGAATCAGGATGTTTGGACCCCAGTCAGGGAGGTGGTCTGTTTTCTCATTTACCAACTGTAGTTTCTAGAAGATCAGGATGCTCCTGCAGGAAAATGAACTGCTTGTCGTCTGAGGTCATCTCACACAGCACGTCCAGCAAACTTATTACAGTCAGCGCCTCCTGCAGGACCTGATAAGGATTGCAGCCCACAGCACAGAGACTTAGAAAAGAAAAAAAAAAGAGATCTATTGGCTTTAAATATACCAGCTAATGCGTTTCCTACCTCGTTGCTGGAAGCAGAACCTGTAGCGAGTGTGAGAACTGCTCCACAGCCTTTCTGGAAGGAACCGGCCAGGAAATGGGCCACACTGGGGGGGACGCCGCAGCCCTCTGAGCCCTCTTCTCTTAACTGGGCCAAGAGCAGCTCTAATAGAGTTACTCTGAAAAACATTTATAGACACATTTCAGCAGCATTTCTTAACTTTCTCTTCTTCTCCATACAGTAAAAGAATATCTAGCAAACATCTGAATCAAAGTTTCAGGTTAGATCTTAAAGGAAATATGTCTGTTTCTACCTTTTGTTTATTTTATTTTAATAAAGATTACCTGTCATGATGGGACATCCCAGAATACATGCTTTCCACCAGAGCTGAAGACTTGAGGAAATGCTGGGTTGCAATGAGGACGCTGGAATTGCATAGAAATTCAATTGTCAGGTTAAGCATAATTTTTCAAAAGTCTGCTAAACAAATTATTTTTTATAAATTGTTGATGGAGACATTCAAAAACATTTGCTTAGCTCTGCATTATTTTTCATGATGTTGAACAATGTTTTGTTTAGTGTTGGTGTAACTATGGCATGAAAATGACTGAGAAGACTGTTCCAATGGGAAAGAGAGGAGCAAAGGCCCATAGAAAGTTAAATGCGACTTTAATACTCTTCATGAAATAAAAATAAATACATTACCTTAAAAAAATATGCAGCCAGGGCAACAATTAAAATAACGTAGAACTATAATTCTGACAACTATGGCTGAACGAGGACCCGTGTTTATTTTATCATGAGATAAGAGTAAAGAGAATGTTAAGGAGATGAAAAATATATAAAAAAAAGATGTTAGAAAGATGTTAGAAAGCTTCTTATAGATGTTTGTGTTTGAATTCTGCAGCGAAAACAGAAAAAAACTATTTTAAAACATCTAAGATAAGCAGATTTAGGTGATCAAGACAAAAAAATATAAATTTTTTTATGTAAAAGTCCATAATTTCTCCTCTGTGGGTTAAACTAAGAGGTCAAATTTCAACACTGCAAGACAATAAAGGAAATCTCTTCTTTTAGCTTTTATATATGGATCTTTGCTGTAGCTGACGTTATGCCTGAAACAATCTGATTAATCGATTACTGAAATAATCATCAACTAATTTAGTAATCCATTAGTAATTAACTGGAGTATAGAAACTCCAGCTGATAGAGAGACCATTTAGACTAGTAAATATACAAAAACTGTAAAAAAAAAAAAAAAAAACATATATTTTGTATTTAAGATTTTTTTTTATTTGTCTGTTATTATGCTCTATACAGAATTCCTAAAGTAGAAGATTTTTCATTTCACCTGGTTTGATTCTGTAAAAAATCTTTAAGGATTCTTTTGCTATCCGATTATTAATTGATAAATCAAAAACATAATCGTTAATTGCAGCCCTAGCTAACTAGTTAACTACAGCTTTTGTTGATCCAGTGGACCAGTCCAGATCCAAACAATCAGAACCTTCATATCTTTTTTAACAACATTAATGGATGGAGAATCTTTTCATTGACCGGCCTCTGAGATTTCTTGGGAAAATTACTCACACCGCCTCCAACTTTAAACAAATCAGCACTTTCCTGACATTCCCTCAACAGTTTCTTTATTCTAACTGTGGAGGTTCCTCCTACTGTTTCAATGTCATTATTTCAATATTTCTTTCAAACAGCATATCTATTTTAGAACTTACTGATATGGGTGCGAACATTTAGTAAACACCCTATCTATGTACAGTATTTGAAGAAAACTGTTTTTCTTTTGCTGAGGTTGAAAGAACTATGTAGCTGGGGGAGCAAATATGGTATAATACCAGGAAGTGGAGGAATCCAACAAGCTGCTGAGACTGGGGAACTTGACTCTGAAGAAGCTGTAAAACAATACATTTTGATGTTCAAATGTCTTAGTTTGACTTAGTTTTGTTTTGGTCCACCCTTATAAAGCCTCAAACTCAAAACTAATTCGGACATTTTGAATTGAAAAAGCTTCCTGGATGGGAAGCAAAACGTCTTCAAACTCGGAAACTAAGTCCAGTGGATTGTTTTTAACTTTTTTTAAATATCCCTGTGTTCATTGTAAGAGGTCAGTTCTGGTTTGTTATCCTTTGTTAGATTTGTCTTAGTTGACATCTTTTTTTGGGCCAATTTTCGAGTCTTTTGAGGGATTTTGTTTGGATGATATTTTTTCTACACCTTAGTCTTTTGCCTGACAGCTTGGTCGCTGACAATAACCAAAATATCAGTATCTAAAATAAGGTAATTCACTTCATTCCAACTTAAATGAGGACATTACCTACAAACAGATTAAGAAGAGAGGGGGTCTGCTTTCATATACATGAACAGAAGGATGATGAGCCTTCAGACTTACGTCCAGTCCAGGTCAGGCTGGGTCCTACACAGCTCCATCACTTTGAGGGCCAGCAGGATGTTTTGTGGCTTCGACAGATCCTCCACTTTGGCCTCATCCAGACATGTGTGGATAACCATAGAGGTGTAGCTGACCACTTTCTCATCGTCGACGTTGAGCAGCTGCCTGTTCACACACAAACGGGGCCACCCAGTTTAAGCATCCAGTACAGATGGTTACAACTAAGGACCAAGTGTTGGGGTGATTCTTATTCTATGAAAACGTTCTCACAAGAGGACATCGGGGAGGCTGTGCTGCCAAATTTCATCCTTGCTCATCTGGTTTCCTACGGCGAGGTTGCCAAGAAACTGGATCCCACAGCGAAGAGCTGGACCACAGAGGAAGACAAATGAGCGGATGATTAGATAGGAGGAGAGGAAAACAAACTGAGCTCAGATCAATATCATGACGGTCATCATTTGATCATCATCATTTCATTACTTCCTCATTTGACTTCTTTTCTACGGCTTTGACTCCGACTCACGTTCATATAGGGCGTCTTTTTGGTCCAAATTTGCGGTTTGAAGATAACTCAAGAGTTTAATGGATACACCGATGAATCCAAGTTCCCTGGAGAAGAACAGAAGGTTGTAAACAATAAGTGCAAACCATCAACACAATTTTAAAGGTAACTTTGGAACCCTTTAAAATGTTTTGTTCCCCTTTAGAACGACAAATGGCCACATACTTCTAGGAATTTGACATATTAGACCAACACAAAGAAATTAGCACATAATTGGGTCTGTGAAAAAAACTCTTCCCTTTGTGAAACACGTGGTGGAAGCATCATGCTGTGGGAAGACTTTAACCTTACGTTAAGGTACAAAAGCTAGTTAGAGCAGACTGGAGGTCATATAAAGCTAAATGCTGGGCAGAAATGGTGATTAGTGGTGGATGGGATTAAAAACTAATCAAATTAGCGGCTTTCTAATACAATAATCATTACTTTTTTGAATCAAAAAGTTCAACACTTGCTACAATAAATACATTCTTTTTTCAACTGCAATACATTTAAAGGACTAATTTGACAAATAAACATATAAATTGTAAATTACAGCTATTTCTGCCTCAGTTTAGCAGAAACTAGCATATTTAGGCTTTGCTGGTTCCACCATCCAGATCCAGCTGCATTCAGATGTCCTATGGCTACTAAACCTGGAGCTTCACACTTCATCTTCAAAACCTCATGCTGAGAAAATGTTACGGTAAATACTTCCACATTTTACTGAACAGAGATTCTTTCATTCATTCTCACTCTGTAATTCCTTTAATTGTATTTTAGTGGAAATTAAATTTTTAAATCCGCTTCATTCTCTGCTGCTTCCTTGCCCTCTAATCTGGTTTATTCCAGCAGATACTCAGTGGCTTTAGGTTTTAAAATGATCGGTATTGTTCCAGGTAATTTTATACCTGCTATTCAGAGCCTCTAAGCTATCCATTAGAAACAGAAAAGTTAATGTTTGGCCCTACATTGAACATTTGTACAAAAATTATTATTAGTCATGTAATGTTTTTGGGATTTTATGTCACAAATTCAGAATCAAAATCACAGGTATGAATACTTTAGGATCCCACTTTAGACTTAGACAACTTTTATTCTAATTTTGTTTTGTACAGCTTTCAGAACATTTCCATTCCATAAAGTGCAGCAGGGGTCAAATGTAAACAGTCTGTGAGAAAAGACATGGTGCTAAAACGCATTGATGTGGACGTTCATGACATTAATATCATCTGATTACCAGTTTTATAAAGGTACAACAGGAAGTAGGAGAAATTTGGTAGCTTCAATATAAATGGGTGAAACAAACAGCTCTAATGCTGCACACTCATTGAAATTACCTGAGGAGTTTTTGATTGCGTGGACTCTGAATACAGGAGTTCCTTTGGGATCTGAAGCACTCAGCGGTGAGCTGGAGCTGCAGAGTAAAAGACTCTTCATCAGCATGGCTGTCTGCACTCTGCAGGCACTCAAACAGCCTGGTTAGAACCTTGAGGAGCTCAGAGAAAATGTCTTCCACCACAGCATCCCTGAAGAAGAGAGTTTGAAATGGGGAGATATTAAAATATGATTTGAATTTAAACCCATAACTACATAGAATACATATTTTTATGTAACTGATACAAATATGGCTCAAACAATAAATTGGATTAATCGAAATAACGATCTCAGCTATTTTAGTAATCGATCAATCATTAAATGGAATGTAGAGACTGTAAAACATGCCTTTAGCTGACAGAGCAACCCACTTAGAAAAGTAATTATATCAAAATTGTAAAAAAAAAAACATATGTAAACAATTTGCATTTATAATTTAAAAAAAACAATGTCGTCTGTCAATGTGTTCAATCTAGAACTACTCAGGTGGAAAACTTTTAGTTTCACTTGGTTAAACTTAGTGAAAAAATTATCTTTAAGGAATCTTTGGCTATCCGATTATTAATTGATTAATCTGAAAAATAATCTAAAGATTAAATGATTTGCAAAATAATTGCTGGTTGAGGCACTACATACAAAAATAAAGAGTTGATCCTCCTTTATTATTCCACCTGCTTTGTTAAATGCAGCCAAACAGTCCCATAGCATGATACTACCTCCACCAATCTTACTTTTGAAAGTTCCATTTTAATGAATACAAAGTTATTTTTACTGTGGCTAAAAAAGAAAACCTCAATGTTAAACAAAATAGTGGTACAAACAGTGGTATAACAGCTGCTTACAGTTTTTCCCTGAATATCCAGACCAATTTCAATTAAATCTCATCTTTAACTGAATGGAAATCCTGAGTGAAACTGAGTATATTTCAGATTACAACAAAATATATTACATTTTTTAGCAATCAGGTTTTACCGTTTAAAATAAAACGCAGTTGTGTATTAATATGCTGTGAAATGAAGATGTAAATCAGCACTTTCTCACATTCTTTCGTTGTAGCAGGTGTCATTTTAATGAGGCTCAAAGTAAAAACTCGTTTCTAACATAAATAAATGTGAGGGGAAAAAATAAGCAGCTAAATCGACTCCCAAACAAAAGGTTTACAGATAGAATAGTCATAATAAAAAGGCGTGAGTACATACAAGCTGCCAAACATATTTTTTTGTGCCAGAAAATCGATGATAAAGAACGAGCTAACTTTAGCTTAGCTACTGAGCTACCCGTTATTTACTGAAACCAGAGAAAACTGTACGAACCGCACCTGTATTCCGCATCTTTTAAAGCACCTGTAAACGTTTTTAAAACCTGCAAGTGTTCAGATGAGAGTTTCTCATTTAAAATATCAGCAAAAGCTGCTGATATTTTCTGCTTGTCATCGGTGGAAGCTGCCATGTTTCTTTAGCTGCGTCGTGTGGGCGGGGCGCAAGAGTCAATCCCTGACTTCCTATTGGCTTAATTTCTCAGATGGGCGGAGTCAAAGCATGTGCTCTTGTTTGCACGTGTTCACTGACTGACAATCATGACTTCGGCCAAGTACAGCTACAATAGTTTCCTGACCCACTGAACATAAAGTTAAGATATTTTAAACACACTTTTCTGAGCTATACATTTTTTTCTTTCATATGACAAATTAAGGAGACAGCCAATCAGAAAGCATCAACAATAGATTAGAATAGAATAGAGCAGAGTAGAATAGAATAGAATAGAATAATATAATAATAGAATAGAATAGAAAAGAATAGAGTAGAAAAGAATAGAATAGAATAATAGAATAGAATAGAATACTAGTATAGAAAAGAAAAGAATAGAATAGAATAGAAAAGAAAATAATAGAATAGAATAATAGAATAGAATAAAAGAATAGAATAGAAAAGTAAAGAATAGAATAGAATAATAGTATAGAAAAGAACAGAAAAGAACAAAATAGAATAGAATAGAAAATAATAGAATAGAATAATTGAATATAATAGAATAATAGACTAGAAACAAGAAGAATAGATTAGAATAATAGAATAGAGTAGAATAAAATAATAGAATAGAAAATATCTTTATTGTCCCACATAGGGAAAATTCTGGTGTTTACAGCAGCCGAAAGATTTAAAAAAAATGTCCCATCAATGTGGACTTTAGAAAAAATGTATAAGAATAAGATAAAATGAAGAGTTAAAAGATAAACAATAGAATATTGCACTGTAAAGTTTTTTTTTTTAAATATAAAAACTGTGCAACTGGAGAATAAAATAACCAATATACAGCTATGGGCTTTTTTACAGCAGTGGATATTTGAAAATGGCAGCAACATCAGTGATGTGCAAAATGACATCAGCATGTTATTTAACTGACTAAGGTAGAAACTGCAAAATTAGTGGTGGTTATAGTGGTGGTTATAGTTCAGCAACAGCTTCATGCATGGGGTGGGAGACATTATCCAACAGAGATGTTAAGTTAGTAAAGATCCTTTTTTTCCCCACCTCCTGCACTTAGACCAGAGGGCATCCAATCACAGTGCCGGCCTTCCTGATCAGCTTATCCGTATAACATATGACATACCCTATAAGTCGTGGAAATATCTAAACCTAGTACCCATGCTTTGCAAAGAATAAGAGGAAAACATTTACTTAAATACATATAGCAATGCACTTTAAATTCTCCATCTTTGACATTTTATTTCAATGCTGAAATCCTTGCTTTCCACCAATCATGGTCAAAAAAATTACTAACAGTGTAATGAGACAGTTTGCAATTTGCAAAATATAGGGATGTCAAAATTGGGCACTCACAAACATATGTGATCCCATCTGGATTGAAGGATGGATACAGGCATCTGCTGTTGTGAATAAAGCCTTTCCTTATGCACAAGCAACAGTGGTGGAAAGTAACAAAGAACAGTTATTTGATTACTGCACTTAAGTACTTTTTTTAGTATCTTTACTTTACTTGAGTCATTGTCTTGGGGGTACTTATAATAAGATATTGTACTTTCTATTCCACTACATTTCGAGGAAGCTCTTGGTTTCTAGTTCATTTTGGCTCAGTTTACACTGCAAAACATTGAAATCTAAACAACACATTTTTTCTTAAGATAAGTGCATTTTTTCTTGAATTGAGAAGATAAGTGAGACACTTTGCCAATAGAAAAAGACAGTTTGCATTTAAAATAAGAAAAAAAACTTTTGGATTGGCTTATTTCAAGTGCATATTATCTAATTATCTTATTTTAAGAGTAAAAATACAAATTCCATTGGCAGATAAACCTATTTACCTGCTCAAATTCATACTTAATTCAAGAACCTTTAACTTATTTCTTGATCGTTTTTGAAATGTAGCTTTTGATGTTTTCTTCCCTTGAAATGCAATTTCAGCAAACAAGACAGCAGACCTTAGGACTGACTTTAGACCCACAGTTTTAGAGATTTAATGATGTTCCACAAATGTGAGGAACTTAAGGCAGATAATATTTGTGCTTTAAATTTTTTATGTAAGTGTTAGCTGTTGTGATGTGGCCAAGCTGTTCAGTAGGAGGAGTTCTGAAAATAGAGCTGCGGGGTCTTTGTGGTAATAGATTTTACCTAAAACCTGTATCCCATAGCAAAAACGTGAGGAGAATCAAGGCAATCATGTTTAAAATATCTTTCCTTTTTGTGGCCTCTGTGTGCTGAAGTTCTTTCCAGGTGGTGCAGAATCTGTAGCAGGTGGTTCTATGCATCAATACATCAGGTGGTTTCTGAAGGATTACTCTGTAAATAAAAAAATTTATAAAAAAAAAAAACGTTAGAACTGTAAATTTACAGTCATATGTTTATATTACTTTTTATATATATTTTTTTCTTACTATTTTTCAAGGCTGCACTTTTAAAAAAGATTAAATTATCCAGAGAGCTGTTCCAAACGAAATTTCTTTTTGTTTTACACTTGTGTAAAACAAAATGACAAATAAAATCTGTCTAAGTCTCTCTCTCTAAATAATACAGAAATATATTGATATTAGAATATTACATTTTTACTTTTTAATAATTATGTATTTTCAAAAGTGAGTACTTCAATACTTTATCTTGAGTTGAAGTTTGACTGAATAACCTTTACTTGCAGTTGCAAAACATGTATCAATATTTTTCCAAGTACTAATGTTGACTATTTTGGTATCACTGATTAGCAGCAATAATAGCATTTGATGAAGTTCTACATGTCACTTGTTTCTCTATATAAATGAAATCACACATGGACTGCCACTTTGCATATGTAGCAAGTTGTTATTTTCCTTAGTTAATGCATAATTACCCCAACTAGCCTTGGAGCAAACGTTATAGCCGTAGCAACAAAGCCACATTAAGTTCATTTGTGATTTCCAAGAATTGTGGCGTACCTCAGTTCACAGACCTACAAGACGTTCCCACCGCTGTGCCTCCACAGGCCAAGAACAGCACAGCAGTGGCTTTAGGAAGCTTCATGTTAAGTAGAGTTGATCATAAATGGCAAAAAGCTTCCACCTCAAGCAATTTGTCAGCTTTAAGAAGTATTTGAAGAAGCAAATTTTCCAGTTATAGAAATCCCAATATTTATCCATTGAAGTGGAATAACTGGAAATGCCCCCACAAACTGGAAGTGGAACAGGATGACGGGAGGAATCTGAGCAGTTGGATTACAGGAATAGAGCGCGTGCTATTGGATTTTAAAATGGTAGAAAACCTCAGTTATGCTAACTTGTTGATGTCTGGTTTAGTCTACTGTGGAAAACTGTTTACATCAACGGCCCATGAATAAAAAAATTACACACGAATGCAACACACTTCTACAGGTTTTTATTATGCACAGATGGTATTACAATGTTTTGGGTATAAAACACAACATTTTCAGTTAAATGCTGCCACATAGACACATTAGTCATAAAACTAACAAAAGCAGAGAAAGATAGCAAAAGTGAAACCATTAAAGTGGATCAAACAATAATCAAAAAAAGAATCGAATGTGTAATATTCTAGCATGATCTTTTTTAAAAGAGCTATTTCCTCTCATGGCTTATATCATCATAGCAAAATAACTGACATAAGCAAGAAAGATAAACTATCAGGAGCATATATATACAACCTCACAGAGGTTGAAGTCCATTTCAAGCATAAAAAATCATCAATAATCTGCAATGGTAACTATAAACATCTTGAACTGCATTCAGTGTAATTGGTTAGCCTCCCAGACAAATGGAAATTTCCTTTTTTTACTTCTTTTTTCTTAAATTATATAAAAAAATATTTTCGTTTATCTTTTCAGAACCAGTATTTAGAGATATAGACGTGGATGAGGATAACGTTTTGCTGAGAAATCACTCCGGCCTTGAGATACTTCATATTCACCTCCAGCACAAGTTCTTTTGGGCCCATTACAGGCTTGATCTGGCGGATTACCCCTGAGGGAAAAACATTAATTAGAACAATCAAGTAAATTTTATGTTTTTAAGTAAAATAACGTGCCGTCTTACCGACAATCATGCCGTTTTGTGAACGCTTTATCACATCGAAAGACCTCAGCTCATCAGTGGCTAATATCTCAAAGAAAACATTAGGCTCATCAGGGAGGAGATCCGGTTTAGCTTCTGTAGCCGTCCACAGTATGATGATCTCTGTTGGAACAAATAGGTAAAAATCTGAGGTATTCTGAAAGGGGATACTAAAAGATTTTCTTCCAGTGATCTTACCCTCTGGCTCCTCTAAGTATTGGAAGGTCGGCAGAGACAGAGCAGTGGAGGTGATGATGTGGACGGGGTCACGATTGCAAGCGGTGTCCCATCCCTGGCAGTTTTTGATACAGTGCACCAGAGCAGAGTCCTTTCCTGTGGATCTAAGAGCAGATGACTGATGTCATTTTTATGATTTATATCCTAATTATTATTCATTTATTTGTTTTTCATTGAGTTCCACATTGTTTCTATCATTCTTACCATTTATTTATGTGCACTACCCTGAAAAGATGCTATTTTTCTCCTCACGATGACAATTAAAAAATAGTAATTTTATATTTTATTATTGTTATATGAAAAAAAACTTAAAAAGTTTACTAGCCTGAATAGTTTTGCAAGGTAGTGCACATTTATTCTGTTAAAAGTGGTATTTCGTGCCCGCAACATTAACAAAACAGACTAGCAACACCTGATCAGCCCTATGCACATGTATGGTTAATCAAGCTTTAAACTAACAGAACTGGTTCAAAACCGTAACGGTTTCATCACAAGCGTTCAAGGGAAACCTCGAAACCCCATTTAGGAGCAGAGCTTTATAATTTACTGCAGTCAGGTGAGTCGAAGCTGCTTGCCAAGCATGAGGCCCAGTCACAGAGATGATTTTGTGGTGTTCCACATTAGTTCCATTATGCCATCAAAATGAAACAGAAGCCACAGCGTGGGGTATCTACTAATAAATCGAATGGTATTTAGTGGTATATGTGAAATTTACACCCATTGGATAGAAATTAGGAAAGGGGAATTAAAAAAATAGGAATTGGACAATATGTTTGTTAAATAATTGAATTTACATTTACATTACTTGCACTTCTAAATGACATGCACCAAACCACAAAAACATCTGTGGCAAAATGGTATATTATCTTCTATTTATCTAGCTGACCAATATAGATGCGAGGCTTTTGCTATCATTTATTGCAGATTAACTGATGATGTCCACACAGCGCCAACACTAAAAAACCCATTAATCACTCTAACTAAAACATTGCCCTACCAATAATAGAGCTTTGGTAAATTGGCCGAGCCCCAGGTGCCCCAAAATAAATGTCACGTTTATTTTCTTGCAGTGCACCAAGGCCAGGCTCCTTTGATGCTTTGGTAAGGCAGCTTGGATCATATGGTTTGGAAAATTTGATTTCAGCATTAGATGTGACCACAGCAGAGGAAGTACAAGAGCACTGCTGGAAAAGAGACCATAAAGACATTCTTCACTGTCAATTTCTGATTCCATGCACATAAAGGATAAACAGAAAAGGGGCTATCAATCTGAGATGAGGTACAGGGGATTGATATAATATTGACAAAGGGGTACTGGATATATAATGTTTCAAATTGGGATTCTTGTCTAACCTACTATACCAAAAACAAATGTATTCATATGGTATTTATACTGCTTTTAGTCAGTTATGATATAATGACTTCAGATTTGAACAATTTCTGAGTTTTTACCCTTCTGCTGCTCGCCTGAAGTTAGTAGGACAATCAAAGAACACACAGCGAAATCCTCCCTGGACATTAAAGCAGGTCTCCGTGGAAGAACAGGAATGAGTTCCTGCAGCACATTCATCAATGTCTACCAACACAGATCAAAGAAGTTAAAGAAAGTACAACTTTTGGAACCACATACCATAGATGATTGTAACTCGTGTTTCTCCTCATTGCTGATATCAAAACCAAAGCGCTGCTTCTATAGACTGTGAAGAATGTCTTAGGGTTTTGCCCTCCTTACCTTGACAAGTACGACCATCACGTGCGAGCGTGTAACCGCTGGTGGGGCAGGTGCAGTTAAAACCACCGGGAGTGTTAATACATTTGTAAGAACACACATTTGGCATCTTACATTCATCGATATCTAAAAGGAGCAAATAAACAAACTGTTCAGAAATCTCTCAAATTTTGCAGGATGAAATAATACGCAGTGTTGTCATAAAGTTTCCACAGAAACACTTTCTTCCACTACCTTCACAAGTCACCCCATCGATATCATTCAGCTGGTAGCCATGGTGGCAGTAGCACTGGTATGAACCGTAGACATTGGTGCACTCCTGGCTGCAAGGTTTGTCCAAACATTCGTTTACATCTGTCAAGTTAAAGGACCATACAAAGAAAACACAAATTGCCATTTATGCAGACGATATAATGGTTTATCTTACAATTGTATTTTTGAAAGAGGTTCACCTTCACAGTCCCGGCCATTGTTGGAGAGTTTAAACCCGGTTGCACAGCTACATCGGTAAGACCCCTCTGTGTTCTCACACTTGTGGGCACAGAGTCGCCCAGAGTAATGCATGCACTCATTGATATCTAAAGAGAATGAGAAACATACAAATATTAGTTGACTTTAATGAAAACGCATCAGTATTTTTCCTATGCCAAATCAATCAAGTTTCTGGTTCTGTACCTTCGCACATTTTGGTGACACGGTTAAACAAGTAACCCTTCCTGCACTCGCAGCGGTACGATCCATCCAGATTCACACACACGTGGCTGCCACAGTTATTGCCACTGAGACACTCGTTCACGTCTATGGAAAAGCAATCAAGAAAGACAACAAAAACTGTGACAAAGCATCTCATTCAAGGCGGATCTGTGATAATGTTGGCCCTTTTTTCAACTTATGTTATCAACAAGTCTTTCAAGGAATTTCAATTAAACCTGGCAGAAGTGTTTCATCAGTTAATTTAAATTCAAAATGAAACAAATATATGGAACAATCTAAAAACATAAAATCAGAACATAGAGTTTTATAGTGCATAAATCTCCCATTGATTATTTATAAAACCTAATAAATCTGGATGAGAAGCTCTAAGAAGGCAGGGATTTATAATCTTCATCAGATAGTTTCTACCTTTACATAGTGTGCCATTCACGTTTAGGTAAAACCCTCGTGGACATGAGACAGTTTTAATGTGACAGGCGTACATGTAGGAGCCCATTGTGTTGATGCAAGTCTGGGCCAGGCTGTCATGGGTTGGCATAGGCTAAGCACTCATTAATATCATCTTTAATCTGGAGGAAAGAAAAGTAAACGTACCGATACACTTGCCGGCAGCATCCGGGGCGTAACCGTTTCTGCACGGCACCTTTGGCCTGCAGTAGAATGAGCCGGGTGTGTTGATGCAGACATAATTCCCTCGACAGTCATGGCTGCCCAAAGCACACTCATCGATATCTGATGAATATAAGCAGGAAAAGAACTGCTTAAAAGGCATTCTCTGGATAAAAACAATATTTTACTTGGCAAACTTCACTGCAAAACATAATGTTACCACTTTTGGAATTTACTTAATTTTATTTAGTTAACAAAGTTGTTTTATGGCTTACCCTGCTAATATGAAACAAACGGTTGCATAATTTTTTTTAGTAATAGCTTGATAGATTTATAAACATAAATTTCAATAAATTATACCTACATTTTTGTGTGACAGATCAACACAAAGAAGTATACAATCGTAAAGTGGAACTTTATGATCAAACAGTGCAGATTAAAGCAGATTTTGTCAACAAACTGAAATAATCTGAAGCTCTGATAGATGAAAATTGACGTTTTTATTAATTCAGAAAAAAAAAACTCAAAACCTGTTGGCAGCCATTTCCCTAAAAATTAAACTTTTCTCAAATGTAAACATTAACTTTTTAAAAAAGTGATACCACATGTATTTTTTAACCAGAAAGCCTATGATGCCCTCTGCTGGTGTCTAATATCAAGTAAAGTAGAAGAGAAGTGATCCTGTGGGCCTGTTCTCTGCTACTTTAACAGGGCGTTGATCCTTTGAAAACATGCTTACAGCTGTCAGAAATATAGAATCAGTCATAAAGAAGCATACAGAGCTGTATTTCAATTGAATTGTAAAACTAGTAGCTTCAGAGTGAGTTTACCGTCACAGTTCAAGCCGTCGGCACCCAGTCGGAAGCCATGTACGCACTTGCACTTGTAAGACCCCTCCGTGTTCTCACATATCTGCCCACAGGGTTGCCTGTAGTAATGCTTGCATTCGTTAATATCTAAAGAATCAAAAAGGAAAATGATACAATTAATCGCAAACAGATTTACTATCAACTTTTTGACAATGATTTCTCTTTGCAAATCCTTAATTGTTGAACAATGAGGAAATTCACTCTCTGCATTTAACCCATCCCCTTGGGGAGCAGTGGGGTGCCACTGGAGCAGTCTGGGGTTAAGGGTCTTGCTCATGGACCCAGAGTGGCAGTCCGTGGGAGTGTGTGGGACTCTGAGACCCAAGTGCAAAGCTCTAGCAAATACGCAACCACTCCCTTTGCTGACATCATCTTTGAACATCAGCAAAATGACCAGTTGGTGTGACGATACCTTCGCAGAGTTTAGTGGTGTTGCTCAACTGGTAGCCTGCCCCGCACTCGCAGCGGTACGACCCTTCCAAATTCACACAGACGTGGTTTCCGCACACTTTCCCTGTGAGACACTCGTCTTCATCTGCGGGAGGAGAGGATGGGTTTGAATTGGAGCGTGGAGGTAAAGCAGAGACAGAGCGAGGCCTGATTGTGGTGATATAATTCGGGACAGACCTTCACATTTTGTCCCATCCGCACTGGGGCGGTACCCCTGTGGGCAGCTGATGCTGTTCCTCTGGCAGCTGTAGGAGCCTACTGTATTGATGCATTTCTCACCGGGTCGGCATGGATAAGTAAAGACCGTACACTCATCGATATCTAGTAAGAGAAGAATATTTTTATAGAGCTCATCTTAAAAGAACTGCTTCTACCTGAAGATGAAAGCAAACATACCGATACATTTGCCAGCGGTATCATGAGTGAAGCCATCTTCACACACCACCTTTGGCTCACAACTGAAGGAACCGACTGTGTTGATGCACACATAGTCTGCTCCACAGTCATGGCTACCTATAGCACACTCATCAATGTCTGAGAAATGTTTGGGAAAAAAAAGAGCACATGATAAATAACTGTATCTTTAACTTTTGATGAGAGGATTTTAAAACAGTTTTCTTTCATTCCTCATGCCTTTAAACATTTACCTTTGCAAACGGTGTTGTCTGTGAGTGTGAATCCAGGGTGACAGCTGAGCCGGCAATAAAACGAGCCCACTGAGTTGCTGCAAACTTGCTCTGCGGTGCAGTTGTGACCGCCTGTCAGACACTCGTCAATATCTGAGGACAGAAACACCTTTCAAACAATGGTGCAAGGGGGGGAATGAAGCCGACTGGCTGGATCATGTGTTCCTTATCACGAGTTAAAGGAAGATACCTTTCTCTGGCTGACAAATGAACATTAAATGGAAAAAAAAAGAGATAAATTCCATAAAGCATTGAAATTTGATTAGCAAAAAAGAGCAATAAAGATAGAAAAAGAACAAAGCCCTCAGTAAAAGGTAAATACAAAATGAGATTATGTACCTAATAAGAAAATGTGGTTAATAATAAAAATAATAACAGACCAAATATGAATATGAGACCTGAAGGAAATAATACATATAAGTAATAGAGAGAGATTCATGATTAGATAAAAGGTTTTCTTATCTTTTTGAAGAGTGTATATGAAGCTCTGGATCTTAATAAAGGATATAATGTCATGATCGTGGTCCTGATGGCTGGCTTAATTGCTCATTTCAATCATCTGTCTATCTCTGCCCTGTTTCTCATCACTGCTCATCTGATCCACCTGCTCCTGCTTATATTTAAACTTCTTGTTCCCAGCCATCAGTGCCAGATTATTCTTGTCTGAGAGTTCTCTAGCGTACCCAGCTGTGTTTCTGATTACCTGATCCTGTATAGTTGGACTCTTGAGTTTTACCTGCCCCTGTCTGATCTGTTTGCCTGACCTGCCTTCGGATTCCTGTTGGATTCTTGTGTGGACTGACCCTGGATCTGCCTCTTGAATTACCCTGTCTGGATCTGTTCTCCTGTCAGTTCTGCAGCCTTCTAGGCTTCTGCGTCTGGAACTCTCTGACAGCGGAAGTTGTGTCTTGTCAGCCAACCAGCTGGAGTTATCCTCGTTCTCTGGGCTAAACTGTCAAACCAGGTTAGTGACTCACAGCGTTCATAATTATCCTCCATGAAATTATCGTGGTCACTAACCTGTGCTTCTCTCCTTTAGACATTCCTATGATAGACGCCCACGCCGCTGATACCGCAAATCCACAGCCCGCCATTTAAATACAAGCTGCTTAAGTTATTCCACTGTCTGTCTTGCCTGAATCCTGGGTCCCTCTGTTCTGACTCATTACATATAATCCATTCCAAATAATAGGATCTCTATAGGACACATTATACAATAGTGGGATGTGCAAGAACAGGGCAATTATAAATTAGGATTATCACTAATATTGTAAGAGTGTACATTACAAGTACACCTGATTAGATGGTTTAAAGGCTTATCGGAATACACTATAAACAAGTTTCAATCAGCAGATTGCAACTGCAAATAGACAAATAGCACCGCCAAACTCTTAACATGACTTACCTTCACACGTCACTCCATCCTGCTTCAGGCGGAAACCTTCTTTGCAGGCACATCTACTATTATCCACACAGAGCTGAGAGCATTTGAGCTCTGAAAACAGCAGAGAAATGCTCAGCAATACAGCAAGTAAAACATTTAAAACAGCTTTGCATTTCAGATCCTAATCAGTTTATCTTTTCTGGCCGGATCTTAGGCATATTTAGTTTCCAATAAAATTTTTTTGAATAGAATTCAACTTTATTTTCATGACACTGTCAAAAGTACAAAGCAACAAAATGTAGTTTGCATCTATCCAGAAGTGCTATACAGGATAAAGATATTTATGTACATGTGTACAGAAAAGTATGGACTATAAATGGTATATATAAATGGAGAGTAATTGTAAAAGGCTATGAAATAAATAAATATGGAAGCTATATGCAGATAACACAGGATAGTTATGATATGGATTATATTTATATTAGTGGGGTTATAATACAGGATAAATAATGACAGATATTAGCAGATTTACAGATTATCAAAGGTTTTGAAGCATCATGACAGCATGACTTGATATGTAGTCCCACATAGGCAAACTAAGAAGATTATATCCATTCATAAACATGACAGTAGAGGGTTTATGTTTTGGGGTTTAATTAGTATAGGCAGCCATTTTGACTTTCCGCCTAAACCTGAAATACGTTATTTCACCTCCTAATGCTGGAAGGCCAGAAGTTTCTCACCAGGAGCAGCATGGAAATCTATTATGTCTGCTCTACATCTAACAAAACTACAATATATTTTTGAGTAACAGTTTTTTTTTTTTTTATGAATTCTGTTTATTCAGTTTTATTATGATTGGTTATAAAACATTTATAAGCGTGTTGATAGCATGTTTAAACAGAGATTATTACATCCCCCTTTTTTTCCAAGTAGGAAATAGCAAACATGGAATAAAAAAAAAGGATTTTCCACCATGCAACATGAACATGATTAAGTCAGTTATGACATAATTCCCTGACCCTCGTTATGCACGATAAGAGCTTTCCATTCCAACTGAAAAAAGGATAAAGATTTTTGCATTGGTTAAACAAAAGTCCGGACCTTAAGCCACTTAAAGTGAAGCAGTTGGACTTTAAACGAGCCGTGAATAGAAAAGCACCAACAACCCAAGGTGGGACGAGTCGATCAACTTTTTAACACAACAATGAGAGTCGCTGATAACATCACACACGAGTTTGATCACTTCAAGTTATAGCTGAAGAGGATTAGATTGTGTTATATTCTACTGAGATTGCATCTAACCCATTTTAGGACCCAGTAGGACACCTTTTATTGCCATACACATGATTTTTTATTTTTAAAAAATCTAACAAAACCTGTTATTAGAGACATTTACTAGATTATTATCACTATATAAAATTTGCAAAAGAGTAGGGCAAACCTTTGCAGGTAGTCGCTTCCACTGGAGGCCTGGTTGTAAACATGTTGGTCTCTCCTGGTGCTGAGATAAAGATAAATACAAACAGATGAGTAAAAAAAAATGAAGTTGCTTTCATTCAGCAGTTTTACAGCTTTGTAAGGAGTTATCCCTGTTTACATGGAAAAAAATAAAACATGAGGTGAAAAGAAACTGACTTTTTTAGCACTGAAAGTGTTTTAATGTCTGAATCAGAGTGTTGCAAAGCCAGACGATGGTCTAAGAGGATAAGATAAGGTGCTACTAATCAATGCCTGAAGCACAGGATTGCTTTGACTTTTTACCTTCAGTGGTTGGAAGGATCTCGATCTCCTTGGGTTTCTCACAGCACATTTTAGCCGCTTCTAAGCACTGCCTGTCTATCTGCAGATCATCAAACTCACAGCTGAAACCCATGCTCTCTGTCTTCAGACCCAGTGCGCAGCAGTCGCAGCATGTCTAAACAAGAGAATTAATGCTGTGTGAGTGAATGGACGAGGTCTACTGAGCATTATTGGGTTCTTACCAAGATGAAAAAAAAGGAAACTTGTATTTAGAAGTGTTATCTTGCAGCATGGAAATATAATTTCAGTAGTTTTTTTTAGACATCTTTTTTTGCATTGTCCTACCTGTGATATCAGGGTATCCCAGGTAGATCCTGAGAAGAAGGCCCTCTCACAGGGCTGATGGTTACGGCTCGTCCTAATGCCAGTGTCGCAGGCTTGCTTTCTCGCGAGAGATCGACAGCAGTGCTCCTGGGCAATACTGGAAGTAAAGCAGGAGTTACAAATAGATATAAAAACTCAAATATTTACTTTCTAAAGTTAAAGACAAAATATGTTATAGGTCGCCTTAAGGAGGAGAAAATAATAAAACCAAAGCTGAGTCAAGGTCTATGTTCACACTGTAGAATAGCTCACTGATACAGGAAGTTAGAAAATAGTTCAAACACTCAAAAGGTGAAAAATTGGGTTGGAGAATCAAGTTGCATGTAAATTTAGAGCGATCCTCTTATCTATACATACAAACCTCTCTTCCCATTGTGTTTAGCTTGTGTTTTAAAGATCATTGTATTGATTTTTTGTGCAGCCATTTACCGAGATAATTATTACCGGGGGTGTAACGCTTCTTTAAGTAGTGGATTGTCAAAGATTTTGCTTCAATAGTTTTTATAATTAGTTTAAAGAGCAAATTATTGTCTGTAGCCTTGCTGGTTTCAGCCGTGAACTGCTTAGCTTTCTGCTCAGGATTGCTCACAATAAAGAGATGCCACAAGCAAAAACATAAAAGATATTCCTTTTATCACTTCGACTGACACATTAAGCAGTTGAAATGCTCCTTTGGTCTGTGCAGCATAAGCCTTAAGATGAATTTAATTTGCAGTAAAGGCTTTTTTGTCTAATCTATTACGTTTAAATTGGTCAGAACTACTACATGGAAAACAAACGCATTATGAAAAACAGAACTCAAAGTAAGCATCTAATTCTTGCATACATTATATAGGACTTGCAGACCGAATTTTCGTACAAAAGTTAAGAAGTTGTTTTGCTGTCAATATATGAATAAAAATCCCTATTTATGTACAATAGAAAAGGGCCCTTAGGGGGCCAAACATGCTCCCCAGGGCGTATCTTGCCTTACACTGGGAGGATAATTGGTGGCTTTCATTTTCTCCTTTAGCTGCTTTACTTATAAACCTCTTTTGGTTGTAAGAATAGTTACCAGGTGTTCCTTACCTGCAGATATGGGAGTTTGAATATGGAAGTACTGTACAGTCATGGTGCCTTCGGGCTATCTCCCTCCCAGCCTCACAGCACTCTTGTATAGAAGAAAGCCTGCTCTCTATGAAATAAAGATGATAAAAGATGATTTTATTGTGTAATAAAGGGTAAAAAAAACTTTTTTGAAGGCATTTTAATTTTTTACTTACCAATCCCCTTCTGAACTGCATAGAGGAAGAGCAATAGAACGATTTTGTAGGCCATGGAGTCCAGTTTGAAGCCAGTTGGAGCCCTGTGAATGGTCTGAACCTACCGAAGGTGAGAGTGTGCTGTGTGAATGTGCTTAGACATCCCTTTTAAGGCTGTAGGAGAGGCGTCACATGTCAGCGCTGTTAGGGGTGAGGGAGGGCTCCACAGCTGATAATGAGATGTGGGTTAGAAGAAGCGACAAAGGCGTAATCAGCAAGATAACAAATAGCCATGAACAATATGTTTGCACTTTATTATCAGCTTTTTAATGAGAATTTATAAACTGCAACAATCAGCCCAAAATTTAGATAGATATATGGAAGCGCATTTTTGTCATCTGAAGGGGAAAAAAACCTAAATTAAACCATGGCATCGCTCTCGAAGTCAACATCTTCGTTTTTAGTCACAATGATAGAAATTAGTCATAATTACATAATTACAATTACATTCCAAGTCAAAAATCTGACTTTTAAAGTTATAATTTTGTGCTTTGGTGACTGTGAATGTTTCTGAAGTGCTTCAGTCTTTTGGTTTTGTCTCAGTTCCTTTTTTTTTTCTTTTTTTTTTTATTGTCCATCATTTTAGTTAACTTGATTAATATTTATTCTACATTTTGTTACTTTCAGAATCATTTTTTTAGTGTTTCTCCCTTTCCTGTTAATGATTCTCAGCTCTTTACCTTATTTTTCCTCAGCCATCCACAACCCCTGCTTCTTCTATGTTCTTATGTCTTTATCAAAGACCCCTCACTTTTAAAGGCTCTGGGTTAGAAACATTTTAAATCGAACAAGACACACTGAATAAACGTTTTTTTCCTTAATATGACATATGCTACAATGCCATAATTATATATTTTTAATTAGAGAATAGGTATCACTGTGCATAGAGATGTCACAGTAGAATGACACCAAAGTATGATTCCTTAATCAGGAAATTTATTCTATTGATCTTATTTGTCAAATCTAACTGCAAATTAATTTAGATTTTTAAACAGTCATGTGGGCTTTATTGTAATGGGAGTATAAAGTATCCCCAAAGCATCATGCTCCCACTACCTTGCTTCACCGCATGTTAGCATTCTACAGCATAGTTTTGCTTGAAAAAGAGTTGAACTTTTGTCCTATCAGAGCAGCTCTATTTTCTTCTTTGTCTCCAACTTGGCGAGCTCAACCGTTTTTTTATTCCACTTTCCACAAAAGGTAGATTTAAAGACCGAAACAAAAATAGTTAAAAGTTTTCGCTTATTCACCTTTGACAACAACCTGAGGCCTTGAAATTTTTTTTTTTTTTAGAAATAGCAGAGTGAGGACGATAATATAAATGCACACTTTTTGGATTTTAGTAATAAATAACATAATATTCCTTGTTTTTCAAAATAAGATAAATACACCAAATATGTGTTTGATGTGCCAATACCTTATGAGGGGACTGGAGAAAACACCAGCTCATATAAACACATTTCTGTCAATTTAGAGATGCCAATTACCCTTAATGTTTTGGGACTCTGGGAGGAAGCCGGAGTACCCAGAGAGAACCCACAAATGCACAGGGAGAACATGCAAACTCCGGGACGTGCAGGTGGTGCACGTGTAAGTGTGCAGGACCCATGTACGGAGGCCCTAGTCCTCGACTTGGCTGGAACCTGTGATCGTTTGCCGCATGTCTGTCCCCCTCTCTCATACCCACCTTTCCCATCAGCCTAGTGTCAGAAAAATGAGCCAGTAGTGCCGTAAAAACTGAAAAAAAGAACATCGAATCTCCATGCAGAAAGACCATGGGGCCAGGAATCGAACCAGGAACCTCCTTACTGCAAGGCAGCAGTGCTACAAACTGCAACACCATGCATCAGTTTTTATTTTTACAAATGTTTACCAATCCCCCTTTAGTGCATGCAGTATATAGTCATGAACTCATTTAAAAAGCAAAAATAAAGATAAACTTGAGAAGCAAAGACCGGTTGTGCATCGTAATCTGCTTTAATTGCAAATATTAAAAAACTTAGGAAGACTCTCTTTGCTCTACATTGATTCTAGGTTATGGTTCAAAGTATCTCCCTTCAGCAGCAAATAAAAAATAAAACTCTTTCCTTTATAAATTTTTCCATTTTCATACATCAGCAAATAACCTTTTGCTGTTCCTATAATTACCCATAAGTCTGCAGTTTCCACCATCTAATAGTAAAAATGTAACCAAGGTCTTAAGCTTGAAAAAAAAGATGTTTTTGAGGAAATGATTATCATATCTCCACATGAAGATAACAAGCAAGCAAAAAAAAAAAATCTGAATGTTTTTTTTAAACATGAAATGGGTTTCTGATAAAACTGGTGTTTTATCAAAGAGAAAATATGCAGCAGAATGCAGCAAAACAAAGAAGCAGCAATGACTTTTTTTAATTACTGTGAAAGTAATGTACAAAATCTACAGTATTTTATCATAACATTTGTTTTATTATAAATAAAAATAAAAACTACCGCAGATAAGAGTCTTTCTCCATCTAAATTGGTTATAAAGCCTGGTTTTATTGATATCAGAGCATTGCTAATACATTAAAGGTTTAAACTCAGCCTTTTTCCTACTTCAGAAACTGTGCTTTCATTATAAAGTATTTACAATGTCTCTCATAACTTAAACATGAACGAAGCACACAACTCATTTGTGTGCTTTTCACAGTTGCAGAAATAAAAAAAGCTAAAGGTTTTAGTTCTTTGCTATGCATCTAGCATAACGGCTAACCTATAGAGGAATGCCTCTGCTTATAAAAAGGATCTGATTGCATCGGAGGACGGCTGACGGTGGGGCCAGGATGGTGGAAGACTTCTCTGATTGATCCTCCTCAGCTGTGATCAGTTTATCCTTCCTCTGCGGGCGCCACGCTCTCTGAAGTATCGGGTGTTTCCTCTGTTGGAAGCTGAGCCGTATCGTCTTTAGTGCCGTCGTTAGCTTCTGTGTTTTCTACCCGCTTCACATCAGCGCTCTCATTAATGGTTGGATTTTCACTTTTGTTTTCCTCCTCTGCAGGAGGAATCCCTCCCTCTACATTTGTAATCATTTCCTCAGTCTCCTTTCCACTTTTCTCCATCTTTTTGTCATCTGGGTTCTCGCTTTCTCCTGCTGCTTCTTCCTTAGGAACAGTTTCCCCGTTGCCATTAGAGCTTCCTTCTCCTGCAGGACTTTGGGGCTTCTTGACCTCTGTGGATGTATCGCCTTGCTCCATTGGCTGTTCCTCCTCTTCCTCAATCTCATCCTCCAAAGGAGGGATCATCTGCTCCTCCCTCCCTCCAGGGAAGACCCTGTCTGGGTAGATGAGCTTCAGCTGCTCCTCAAAGTATTCCTCCAGGTATAAGCCTGCACTCCCCACCTCCGAAGTCGCCTTTAGAGAAGTTCAAAGAAGAGAGAAAAAAAAAAAAAGAACACAAGACAGTTAAGTTGCTTCTTATTTCTTAAAAAAAAAAAAAAAAAAAAAAAAGAGGACGATGGACTAGAAGGGAGGCCTACCTTGTAGTATTTGGCGCAGTTGAAAAATATGAGCCTGATATCGGAAACAAAGCCCTCGGGGCAGAGATAGCATTCACCCTCCTTTGACTCCAGTTTTTTCTTCACGATTGACAAATCCATCGGCGTCTTTATCAGCTCTTTGTAGCGCCTGGTTTCCTACAGAAAACAGCAGCATCTCTTTCTATTCCAAATTCCATAAAAGTTAGCTGAAAACATTCAAACCAGAAATCTGTCCTGGCTCTCATTTATAGGAGGCATTTCTAAACGCCCCTAAAAACAGCTAATAACTAGAATGAATGCAGAGTTTTACCGACGGAGACGCAGGCGCCTGGAAGTCTGTGCTGAAGTCGTTGCAGAACAAGCGGAGCAGCAGCCTCTCACACTTCTAGATTTAAGACAAACATTTTCATTATGAGATATTCTAGAGACGTTTTAAGGTCAGTTTTTATAGCAACGAAAATAAGTATTTGAATAACCTGCTATTTTGCAAGTTCTCCGACTTAGAAGTCATGGAGGGGTCTAAAAATTTAAATGCATGTCCACTTTGAGAGACATAATAAAAAATTAAAAATCGAGAATTCACAATGTATGATTTTTTTAAAACTATTTATTTGTATGCTACAGCTGCAAATAAGTATCTGAACGCCTGAGAAAATGTATATATTTGGTATAGTAGCGTTTGTCTACAGTTCCAGAGGTTAAACGTTTCCTTTAGTTTTTCTCCCAGGTTTCCACACTGTGCAGGAGGGATTTTGGCCCACTCCTCCACACAGATCTTCTCTAGATCAGCCAGATTTCTCGGCTGTCGCTAAGAAACATGGAGTTTGAGCTCCCTCCAAAGATTCTCTATTGGGTTTAGGTCTGTAGGCCACGTCAGAACTTTAATATGCTTCTTCCAGAGCCACTCCTTGGTTATCCTGGTTGTGTGCTGCGGGTTATTTTAATGTTGGAAGACGAAGCCTCCACCCATCTTCTACGCTCTAACTGAGCGGTACATGGCCCGGTCATGCTCTCCTTAATACAGTGCAGTCGCCCTGTCCCATGTGCAGAAAACCACCCCGAAGGAATGATGCTACCAACCCCATGCTTCATAGTAGGGATGGTGTGCTTGGGATGGTTCTCATCATTCTTCTTTTGAGCAAAAAGTTTCATTTTGGTCTCATCTGATCACATGACTTTCTGCCATGACTCCTCTGGATCATCCAAATGGTCATTGGCAAACCTAAGACGGGACATTACATGTGCTGTTTAAGCAGGGGAACCTTCTGTGTCACGCATGATTTCAAACCATGACATCTTAGTGTATTACCAACAGTAACCTTGGAAACGGTGGTCCCAGCTCCTCACGTGTAGTTCTGGGCTGACTTCTCACCTTTCTTAGGATCATTGAGACCCCACAGGGTGAGATCTTGCATGGAGCCCCAGTCTGAGGGAGATTTACAGTCATGTTTAGCTTCTTTCATTTTCTAATGATTGCTCCAACATTGGAACTTTTTTCAGCAAGCTGCTTGGCAATTTCCCCGTAGCCTTTTCCAGCCATGTGGAGGTGTACATTTTGTCTCTAGTGTCTTTGAACAGCTCTTTGCCATGTTAGTAGTTGGATTCTTACTGATTGTACAGGGTGGACAGGTGTCTTTATGCAGCTAAAACAGGTGCGTCTAATTTAGGATAATAAATGGAGTGGAGGCGGACATTTTGAAGCCAGACTAACAGGTGTTTCAGGGGTCAGAATTCTGGCTGATAGACAGGTGTTTTAATACTTATTTGCGTATCATACAAATATCATACGTATCATACAAATATATAGCTAAAAAAAATCATATATTGTGATTTCTGGATTTTGTTTTTTTAGATTATGTCTCTCACAGTGGGCATGCACCCACGATGACAATTTCAGACCCCTCCATGATTTCTAACTGGGAGAACTTGCAAAATTATTTTACTCACTGTATATTAAAATAGTGAAAATACAGGAGGCTGATTCAGAATACCCTTTTATCCACAGGGGGAAATTTTTCTGAGCCCGGCCCGCTGCCTCTGTCGCAGTCGTACTCCATCTCAGGGGATTCTGGGTCTCTGCAGAAGGAGCAAAACCACTCCCCACTGACGCCATGGAAAGACAGGAAAATATCAGATATTTAAAGGGATATTCCCATTTATGAAGTCAGCAAAACATGCAATATGCCTGGAGAAATATATGTTACAGACTTCAGATGCACCTACACGGCATCTTCTGTTGTTTTTATTGAATTGTGTATGCATTTTAGGAGTGGGACATTTTATTACTACAAAACATTAATGTAAAGATTTGTTTATTTTTTTTCACCACATCAAATTCCAATAAAAAACATATTCTTTTCAGGTTTCGAAGTGATAGTTCAAAGTTCATGGCTTATGATTGGGTTTAAGACATCCGCACTCCTGGAGGCGGATCCGCTTCTCACCTCGGCGACTCGTTCAGAGTGGGAATGTGGCAGGAGAGATGGAAAACTTTGGGACACTTGTCGCAGCAGAGGAGCTCGCCCCCATTCTGACACACGGCGCACCAGTCCTCATTCGGGTCGTCCTCCGGCTCGGCTTTCTTATCCTGACCGGGCTGAGGCTGCGTCTGATTGCACTGATCCGCCGACGTTGACGCGGCGGCTTCTGATGCTACGATCCCCTTAGGTGGAGGCCGGGGCTTCGACTGAGCGCTGGTGCTGCTGTCCGGGAGGCTTGACCCACCGCTGGACTGGACCTGAGGACAGCAAAAAATAAAAATCAGAAGCAGCAGCAACGGGCTTTAGGTTTGGATTTTAAATAATGCGTCTTAACTTACAAAACGGACTTCATCCTCATCCTCTGGTTCATCCTTGATGACAATTACGGGCCCTGGGGATAACCTCCTCCTTCGCTTTGGAGGAGGAGCAGATGGAGGCACAGACGTCTGCTTCCAGGAAGTCATCCTACGGAGAATAAATCAACAAAGACAAGATCAATCTGGAGATTCTTTAGATTGATTCTTCAGATTGAAAGGGATTAATTCTCACCCTGAGGTTCTGTCTGAGGACGACGGTTTTGCCAGCGGGGAGTTCTGTTGTCCTGGAGCTGAAAGCATAATTTCAACATCTGGATGTCACTTAAAAAAACTGATTTCAGACCAAAACAACCAAACAAAAACAATGAAAGCACAGACCTGTCATAGGAGCCAATGAGCTGCTTTTGTCAGCATTTCCAGCTGTCAGACATAAACCCATACTGGGTCTGGGAACGATGCTGACGGTGGGGACAGATGGCCCAGCTTCGCTCCTCCTTAGGAGGGAAGACTCCGGCAAGCATCTCTGAGGGTCAAAAATAAGAAGAAAGGCTTTAATTAATGCTTTCAATTTTCCATCCTCCTGTTCTGGTCACCAACCTGTAGAGAAGCTGCTCCCGCTGATAGAGGCTGTGGGAAGCGGGAAGCCCCCGGAGACACGTCGATGGGTTTAGGAGGGAATGTGGAGCTATGGATCAGCTCCCGCAGAGACTGGAAGAAACAAAAAGAGCTAATTAGCTTCCAAAACATCCATTAATGACGCATTAAGAAGTACTTAGAGGAATACAAAGAATAAATCATTTGTAGATTCAACAAAGATGTGATAAACTGCAGAGACATTTTGATGAAAAGCCTTTCATGATTGGGCGTCTTTATCAGAGCTGGAAGTAGTTCAGTTAGCCTGACCTTAAAGCATTAATCTGATATTGACACCATAATCATCTACGCCAGAAATCAGTTCTGATTTTGTAGAAGAGAAACAAGAGAGAAAAACGATACCAAGAAACAGTAAAACGAGACTATTCTTTATTACCTGAGAGGCTGTGTAGGCTGAGCTCTGAAGCATGGATGCAGGAGGGCTTCTAGGGTTGGGATGGCTGTTCCCATACCTGCGCCCAGGCTGTGTGAAGCTGGGGGGGGCCTGAGAGGGAGACGAGCCCCCATGGATGGATCTGGTTGGTGGAGTGGGGCCGGCAGGAGCTGGGAGTCTGACGTTCTGATACCACGGCCAGTGGTTTGGAGGGGGCTGCCTTTGGGGCTGGTGGGAGAGCTTGTCAACCTTGATCAGGCATCGATTCAGCAGCTTAGTAACATTTGTTCCCTCTATATAAAATATGACTTTTAAATAATCTACCAAATTCCCTTTACCTGCATCTGAAGCTGAGCCAGAGTGCTCTGCCGCTGCTGTGCTGCTGCGAGGGAGAGGCCCCCGGACGGGGCCTCTGCCCGGGGGCCTGGCTGTTGGTTGGCGATGGGTGCCCTCCCCTGAGATCTCTCTACCACCAGAGAACCTGCCAGAAACAAACGATTAGCCACAATCTTCTGGTGCCAGCATACAGGGCTGGAAAGGCCTCTTTTCTCCCCACTGTCACCATACGAAGGAACATTTCTATACAGCTGAAAAATAAAATCTTTCATCTATATTAGAGGTCACGGATTAGCGGATCCGGACCCACCTGCTTGCTAATCAGGACCTAACCTGATTTAAAACATTTATAAATCACTGCATGTTGTCTGGTGACAGTGTCTAACCGGATGGTAAAGCCACCCGGAGCGTCCAGCACCAGTCTGCATGTGATACAAATTAGCCAATGAGCTGTGTCGATCAGAGCCGCTGCTGCTAGCGACTTTTAGACACAGTAGGCAAACCTGTGGCAAGCCGGGTGATGGGAAAAAAGAAGAAGATGAGAAAAAGAGAGCAGAGGAACCGTGGACTGCTGGAAGAACTGCAGTGAACTAGTGGAAGAAAAGTGAAATGGTGCTCAAAGATGACCCTGAACATTTAAAATACGTTTGGCTCAATCTGCTGCTGTGAAGCAGGATTCTCCACCATGGACATAATAAAAAAATATTGGTCCAGGCTCACAAATGAGCACCTTGAGATATGAGATATGTGCTTGAGAATGGCTCCGTCGCCATTCAAACCCAGGTTTAAAGCTTGCAGGTCAGCCTAAAGCCCACTTCTCTCAAAAAAACGGTCAGTTCAGGTGTTTTGTCTATGTACCAAACTGAACGATTGTTGGTCTCTACTTTAACAATTTAGATTTTAAAACAGGGATTATACAGGAAGGAGGAACTCTAATTTAATGCTTTTAATGCTCTTTTAATGCCCTTAAAATAATTGTAATGCCATCAATAAGTACCGATTACTATATATAAAAACATGGCCAAATCCTTCATAATCTTTATCATTACATCGACAGGCTGCAGCCATGTCCCGAATTTCTCCAGCTTTTTCTGTGCCTCGAGCTTCTGTTCCGAACATATGGCTTTAGGATCAACCAGGAGCAGTTCCACGCAAACACGTGGAACCAGTTAAATCTGATATATATATATATGACAAAAATATATATATATTTTTTTTTTATAAAGCTTTTTAAATGCAATGATAATCACATTTAATGAATTTTAATGGCAATTAAAAAAATAATAATTTAATTACTTTTAATGATTTTTAAAGACCCGCAGAAACCCTGTAAAATGGAAAAAAACTTCCATTTATTATATATATATTTTTTAATTCAATGTATAACATGGATGCATAAACACCTGCATTTCCTTTCAGTGTTTAACGCTGTCTAAAGGAACGGATTATAATTAAAAATGTCTCCGGACCTTTACTGGTTGTTGATCTTCTTTATTCGGACCCCGCTGATTTTTAATTAGTTACCTCTGATCTATATTTTTGAAAAAAAGATGAACTTGATGTAAACAAAGAAAACCCTTTCCCCCAGGACAAGGTTGATGTTGACCAAGATAACCCAGCCCTTGCTGTTTTAGCTGTTGGGTGGGTTATCTTTAGCGTATTAGCTGTTTTACAACAGCTAATACGTTCAGTTTGGTTTGCACTGATTCACAGTTGTAGAACACATTCCGCAGAGGGCGTAGGTTTGCATGGGGCCATAGGGACATGTCCCTACCAAAGTTGACATTAAACATACGCCCTTGCTTACCACCCCCCTGGGTTAGTATGACATGCTTTGGAAAAAACCCTGCAAGCATTACAGCTGTATACAGCATAACCCCTATACTGGTGGGTGCTGCAGGTTTTTCACTTCAGGCAGACAGGATTTAATTTCCTACATTCAGATTTTATAAGATTATGGACATTTAAGTACAATACATTCCCCTAAATGTACTTTTTTTACTTTATTAACTATAAGCTTTAAAAATCATGATACAGCACAATTATGACACTGGATTTCTTATTTAGAGGAACAGTAAGGACTATTTTTTTATCCTTTTTTGGCATCCAGATGAACTCAGATCAGCCCCTTTTTATAATGGATCCAATGCGCCTCTAAACTCTGATCTTAAAAGATGAGAACGGGTCAAATTTAACAGATTTCTGTAAAATAAGCCATCAAAGAAGAGAAAGGTTTCATTTTTCTAACCTAAATTTCAATCCTTTCAATCCTTCATTAAAGCCCTTCTATCTAAGGTGTACAAATTATTAAAATCTAATTCAAAAAGGAATAATCTAAACATTAAAAGAGACAAATCTGTTGTTTGGCTCCCAATTGATAGTTTTACTGAAAACCAAAACGTTTTGTTTTTTAGGTCAGATGAGATTAAAAGAGTTTGGCATAAATAGATAAAAGAACAGATTGTCTGACCTCACCAGGAACTGAATGTAACGTTGCAGAAACAGTAACTATGCTTATCAGAGCCTTTTTCCTGCTTTGACACCAGAAACACCCACCGAGGTCCACGTTTGTAGCCCAGAAACCAGAGCGACACTGGAAGCGAACGGAGCTCTGCGGGACGATGGACGGGTTGTAGCTCGTTCTCATCAAGTAATGGATCTGGTAAAGGATCTGAGAGGTAAGAGAGGCGGGAGGGTTAGAGACCTTAGAGAGGGACGCAGGACATTGGCACCCTGGGTAATTTATTTTTCTTTTACATCAGAGCAGCACATTTAATCTTTACATGTTCATCCATTTTCCTGGGGTAAAAACATGACACGACAGAGGCCTATTTCTTAGTACACGGCTACTGTGTGCTGAAATACCAGCTTTGTTTTATCTAAATGTTCTTGCTGCTGATAAACATGTTCTGAACACAAGCAATAATAAAGCAGCTGTCGGATGCTGTGGTCGGGTACCAGTCTCTTGCAGTACAGCAGAGCCGTCCCGCTGTGGCTGTCCGTCGCCCATTTAGTGAAGCTGATCACATGGTCCAGCTGCCTGGTCAGAGCGCTGATGTCGTCCTGCTGCTTCTTCAAAGCCATCTCGTGGTCCTTGGTGAGCGCCTAGGAGGAGAACAGTGTTGACTGCATGTCCGCACAGGAACCATGGCGATCAGCGGGGGTTCTGAACAAACCTCCAGCTGGTTGATCAGGATCTTCCCCTTCCTGTTGATCTCCATGATGAGGTTACAGATGGACTTCTTGATTTCGTTTGTTACAGATTTACGATTTTCTTCGACTTGCTGCAATCTGTAAAAAAAAAAAAAAAAAGAGAGATTAGATCTGGTGCAATAAACAAAATACAGTACGGATCATTGATTTGGGGATTAGCAACAAGCTCTAAATGAGCTACAGCAGTCCCAGGGCATCACTGAGCCACCGCTATGCATCACTTAAGGTTCTCTTTGCTCATGTTCTGCGTTTAGGACTGAAACACGGCAGCTGCCGATAGCTTCCCCTTTAAAAAGCATGATTTTAAAAGTCAACTTTCATCAAACGCTTCTGTGAAAGAAGGAGTTGTTTAATATTTTGCAAATAAGCCAAATCTGCAGTCAGGTTGACAAATTTAAGCCGCAACAAAGACTGCATAATTATGAGATAAAATCAGGCAGCAAATTCAAATTGCTGCATCGCCACCTGGGTAGCTACATTAAATTTGCTCTGCTTATTCTACAATATTTCAAATACTTGCAACTTGTCATAAAGAATACAAACTTTAAGTATGTTAACTGAGATAAAAAGATGGATTTGAATCCAGCAGTGACGCAGGAACTTTACCCAGACTTGATGCAGGTTGAAACATCCTCAATTGACTTCCTCTTTTCCTGCAACTGTAGAGTCATAGTTTCTAGATACTGCTTATGATTCCTGTATGCATCCTCCAGGAACTGGTAGCTAGATGCAAAAAATATTCAAACGTATAAGTATAAATATATGACAATAAAAAAAAAAAACTCTTTGCACTGATTTGCCTGGTTTGTAAACAGACAGACTGCCTATTTTGTCTTGATTTATCATGGTTTTCATGTGCAAACATCAGGACTTACTTGTGATCCTTGTGCTTGAGGAGCTGACAGTCTCGGCACGTGAGCCGGTCGCACGTCTCGCAGAACAGCTTGAGCGGCTCCTGCTTGTGGACGTCGCAGAAGACGGGCTTCTGCGTGGAAAGGCCGAGGACATCTAGGCAGGTGAAGTAGAAGTAGAAGAGCATCAAACATCAGTTCATGAAAAAAAAAAAAGTGAAGATTCACATTTCGATCAAGCTGTTCATCAGGAAAAAAAAAAAAAAAACTATGACCATTTGGTTTCCAATTAAATATTTCCTGTGCTAAGTATTTTGAGAGTCATCTGAGGGGAGCTCCATTATCGCTTAAAACATTCACTTCCTACAGTGAAGCACGGGAGTGGACCTATTGTATTTGGAACCTGTTTTTATGCTAAAAGTGCAGTTTTTAATCTGCGTCCCACCTGGAGACATCTCCTCCTTCTGCCGGATGTTGTGATCCCGGGTGAACTTTACTCTCTGGTGCGCCTCGACGCACGTCAAGCACAGGAACTCCACGCACTCCACGCAGTAACCTGTGGCTTCTGTGTTGTCTTCACAGCTCATACACACCTGCTGGAAGCACACGACACGGGAGACATGAGCAGGAGAGGCGTGTCTGGAGAAGAGAAGCGTTTTTTTTTTAATGAGATGATCCGCCCGGAGTGGGTGGGCTTATCAGGATCTCAGGACCTGGCTGGTTTTCTCCACCGTGCTGCTTGGCACCTCAGCCGAGTCCTTGACGAAGAAGTTGTCCAAGATGTCCACCTCCCAGCATTCCTGTCTGCACACCGGGCACCGAATGGAACCGACTAGAGCAGGAAAGCAGACAAAATACTTCAAAAATCCACTTGAACATAAAAATGAAATTATACAAACTCGGCTACCAAGGTATCCTCAACTCCAGATTCTCCTTTTTATCTTAAGATTTCATTATTTTAACACTTTTAAAAAGCTGATGATGATTTGAGGTCTTAAAATAATTCAAATCTCAGTATCCCCGCTCCCTATACATTTTCCACATTCTAGCCACAGTCTTAACAGGATTTGACCTGAATTTCTGCAACAGATCCAAAACAAAGCACTTTATTGCTTTTAAAGGAGTGGCGGTGTTCTGTCATATCAGCATACTTCTTCAGACCAGCATACCCATAGTCAAAACGCATGCACAAGCAGCTCAGATTTGCGTTTATTTCTTTAGTTCTGTACAAAAAAATAAACTAAACTACATCAACGAGGGTGTATCCCTTTAGTCATGCACAAAAAATTATTTAATTACTTACTTTTTGGTGTTTTTTTGAAGTGTATGGCGATTTGACCATATATTTTTTTTTTTGTACGTAACTAAAGGGATACATGCCCATCGAGGTAGTTTAAAGCCTATTTTTCGTACAAAACTTAAGGGACAAACGCATATCTGACATCTTGTGCATGAGTATTGAATATGGGTATGCTGATCTGACCAGGTATGCTCATCTGACAGAACAGCGGCGTAGTGGTTAGAGCATACGGCTGTCAGTTTGAAACCCACTTCCACAGACAGCACAAGACTCTTAACCCCCGATTGCTCCCCAAAGGAGATGTGTTAAATGCAGAGAGTTAATTTCTCCAAAGCGAGATCAATAAAGTTCAATTTTAATTTCAGGAATGTTAGAATCTGATAGCTGAGGAATCCGTTGACGTGACAACAATCAGTCAGACAGCTAATGATTTAAGATGATAATAAAAAGCAGCGTAGTTTGAATTTAAAAGAAGGTACTAGATGGGCCTGAAGAGAACTATCTGAGATACAGCAAAGTCGGAGTTTTTCCACTCCACTGTCGCTACAAGCAAGCTTAGTGTGACAGATTGCATTTGAGTCAATGAGTCGATGCAATAAACTGGTTTTCCTTAGATAGAAAACTTTGAATCAATTTGACTGAATGATCTGGTTGAACTGTAAAGTGCCTTGAGATGACATGTCTTGTGAATTGGTGCTATATAAATAAACTGAATTGAATTGAAACACGGTGGTGGCAGTGTCATGCTGTGGTACGAACATATAGATTAAAGAAAAACATGACTCAATTGTTATTTTCCACACGTCTAAGGCTGTCAGATAGATGCTGGAAATGTGCTATTGTAATTTTTTTAACTTTAATTTTCAGAGTGGATCAACATCTGATCACCTGCAGGGTGGGAGTCCCGCCTAGGCTCGGCGCTCCTTAAAGGGGGAGGCAGACACCTCCTGCAGAAGGAGTGCAGACACGGCAGCAGTTTGGGCTCCCTGTTGTGGAAGCTCAGCTTACAGATGGGACATGTATCCATGAGGCCGAAAGCGCCCTGCTGTTTGAGCTTCTCCTCTCCGGCGGGCAAACTTTCAGCCTCGTTTTCCACGATAATCACGATGTCGTCGTTTTCGGCTCTTTCAGCCATTTCTGTCGCGTCACGTTTACCTCCGTTAACCAACGCAGCTAGCCCCGCGCTTAGCATCGAAAAGATAGCCTTTTGTTTCACTCATTTGGACTGAGAGAGCAAACAGACATTAAGAATATCTACATTCAATTCCCGTTTTATTTAGTATAAACACTGAAATACAAAAAACAACATGACGAGTTAGCTTATTTCAGCTCAAGTCTGAAGCTAAGTTAGCATTGTAGCTTATTTGAATCGCACTAACGGCTGACCGAGAATTTCCACCTTGTGGCAGTTAGCTTGAACACATGCAAAACAGAGCACTTAACAGTCGAGTTTGTGCGGCAGACCGGTAAAACAAGAAGGCATTTGCGGCTCATGTCCATTAGGGATAGGCTAACTGCCCCGCTTCCTTTTCTCTCAAAACACAAGCGATGTGTCTCACGTGACTGAGCCGACCGAATGTACCGACTCTTTTAGGTGAACGTGGAGCCGGATTCTATTTAGAACGTCGCGTGAAACCGAAACACAAAAGACAGATTGGAATAAAATAATAAACATGATCCAAATTGCATGGTTTTTAGCATCTTGAAATGGCACTACACATTTTATACGAAGAGCTTATCTGAGCTGCAGTGCTGATGACCATACCGGTGATTTAAAACGTAAAAATTACCTAATAAAGGTTAACTACAGAAAACTCAATTAAGTAAATGCTCAAAAAATTATAAACAAAACAGAATCCAGACTGAGTAGCCTTTAAGTGTAAAACGTCCTGTTTTTTTGATTATAATTATTTAAACTTTTAACATGTGCTGATACTTACCCCTCTCAGTATCAGTATTTAAAATGAACATGCATGCAATGCAATTAAAAGACAAACAGATAGCAACCGAACTAATGCTTCCTGATTTAAAAAACATGTTCCTAGAAAATGATCATCCTAAAAGGTTAAAATACACCCTCCCTACGTTAAAACATGATAGTGGCAGCATCATGCTGGGTTTTTTTCCCCCTCCGTGCTTGCATTTATAGATTATAAAAGATTGTTGCACTTAATAATATTAAGGATTAATTTACCTTATTCATAGTCCAATTACCAAAATTAAAAGTGCCTTTTAAAGATATTTTGTTTAGTTCAAGGAAATAGTATTACTCTAGGCTATATGTCCATAAAAAAATATTAGGTTCCAAAATATTATTGCTATTTTTATAAAAAAAAAATATATATATATATATTAATATGCAATCAATAATATAAAAACAGAGCGAACGTCTTTTCGAGTTCAGCCATTCTATAAGGATCCCAAAAAATAGACGGAATTCCCATCGCATCAGACCACACAATACCAAGGCGGCTCAGCTGTATATTTCAACTACGGGTCTCCTTTAAGGACAAACTGCACATTAAAGTACAAAACATGTAGCAGAAAACGTTTATCCTAAACACACCTTACCAACTGAAAAACTAGTAGTGGCAGCATCATGCTGGGATGCTTTTTCACCTTGCTCACATTTGAAAATACTATAGAATAGATTCTAATTGATTTTATGATTAAATTATTTTATGCATAGTCCAATTACTAAAACTAAAAGTGCCATTTAAAAGTTGTTTTTTTTAGTACAAGGGAATAGTATTAATATAGGCTATGTGTGTAAAAATAAATAAAATACTGGGTTTTATAACATTATTGGTTTTTTTTTTTTTTATTAAAAAACCTGCGTATTAAAGTAATCAGCTCTACAAAATTGCCCACACCTTTCTGCGGATATTTGAGGTATGCATCTAAACATAGTGTTTAATCTCATAGTTAAATTTGCTTAGAAATGAGTCAGATACTGCAGCTCTATCATGTGATTTGTTTGAGCTGGGAGGCTGATCTCTCTGGCTGGGAGGAGTTGTTTGACTAATCAAAGAGCACAATATTTAAACTGCAGCTGCTCCAATTGGCACACTACTGTTTAAGGCAGCAGCCCATTTGATCAGCATGGAACTGACAGCAAAAAGTCACTCAATCCCTTTAAGTGATGGAAACAGCATACCTTTAATTGGACTTGGAACCTATGCAAATCCACGCCAGGTATGAGATTGTAATGTAATTGAACAATTTGTTGAACTAAATGCATTAACAAAAAAAAAAAATCTGTGTTTGTTTGTTCTTTTAATGGAGATATTGTACTGATAAGATATTTATTGACAGACCCCTAAAGGAACTCCTTGTGCAGCTGTTAAACTGGCCATTGACGTTGGATACAGACACTTCGACGGAGCCCTGGTTTATTACAACGAACACGAGGTGGGGCAAGCAATCAGAGAAAAAATTGCAGATGGGACCGTAAAGAGAGAGGATATCTTCTACTGCGGAAAGGTTTGAACCGTTGAATCATTTCCTTTGAAATGAGTAATTAACCTCCTGCTTCCAACCCTCCTCCTTATTTGGGTAAAAAAAAATACATTTTAAGATTGAATATGGAAGATATCTGCAAATAATCTATTGTCAAAGTGCAAAACACCCCTCTGGTGGGAGAAATGAGATCATATGCAATGTTAGCAGATATACAGCAACATTTGCTCTTTTAAAAGGTCAGGTACAAAATGAGTAACAAATGAGTGTGGAAAAAAAAGCAACATAATCAAAAACAGTTGGTAATTCATTATGGTCAACTTGGTTATTTGTTTAAATGTTCATAATCTTAAAAAAGGGGCGATATAAGACCCTAACCTGGAGGTCTTCAACAGGGGTCCGTTACCCCTAGGGGGTCCACTATGATGCATGGGGGTCGCAAAAGTTTTGGTCGATTACTTTTTTTTTCATATTCCCCCCTGCAATTTTTTTTTCCACTAACTGAAATGTGTTTAAATACACATTAACCTGAATTCAACACACTGTAGTAAAGATGTTAATCAGTCATTAATTAACACATTCAGGGACACACAGGGGCTCTTTCAAGCTGGGCACCGTTTCATTCACAACACCTGTCCCATCAAACAGGAATCAGAGTCAAAAATACTTTAATAATCTCAGGGAGAAATTACTTTTGTTACATTACTCTATATGTAATAGAGTGACTATAGGACCAGTTTGATATAACACAATTTCATATAATGTATATAATTAGAGGGTCCCTGCTCCATTTCGCAATCAGTATGGGGGTCATTAGCCTGGAAAACGTTGAAGACTCCTGATCTATAAAGCCGGGCATACACCTTGCAACAGCTTGCGACAGGTCACACCGTACGTCTAAAAACCATGTCGGACTCACCTCGACAGTGAGATGGAGCTACTCTGACTCTAAAAAAGAAAAGCGACAACATATTTTTGGAAAGGTTTGGGCCGTTAAACCCGTTCCTCCAGGACAAGGTTCATGGCCACCAAGATAACCCCCATCCATTGTTTTGCAACATCTAATACCTTCTGTTTGGTTTGCACTAATTCACAGTTGTGGAACACATTCCATCCCCCTGAGTTGGTACGACCTGCTTTGGAGAAAACCCTGCAAGCATTACAGCTGGATTATGTGGACCTGTATATTATAGAACTTCCCATTGCTTTCAAGGTCAGCAATCTGTTCTGCAGTGTCTTTTGGATCCGAAAAACAAATTACATGTTTTGTTTTTTTTAGATATTTTAGCCAAGTTTCTGTTCATTTTTAAAGCCAGGGGATACGTTCTACCCACGAGATGAGAATGGAAAAGACATTTATCACAAGTCAGACCTCTGTGCTACATGGGAGGTGAGAGCTCTATTGTATCTGTGTTGCAATATGCAGGAGTTGCAAGATACAAATCTGAGGTCAAGGTTTAATGTCAAGGTAACGTTTGCAATCAAGTTTTATGGTTTGCGTTTTATGCTCTTTATGCGTTTTTGACAGGCTATGGAAGCTTGCAAGGACGCGGGGCTGGTGAAGTCTCTTGGAGTTTCCAACTTCAACAAGCGCCAGCTGGAGCTGATCCTTAACAAACCTGGCCTGAAGCACAAACCCGTGTCGAACCAGGTACTTCATTGCAGAACATGCATTGTTCAAGGACAAAAAAACAAACTAATAAAAAAAGAGCTGGGAAAGTTTAGAAGATGGAAACACATACAAATGTAACACATAATAACTGGTTTCAAGGTCAGAATTCCTTAGTAAAGACTAATAAAATGTTAATAAACCTGTAACACAAATATTACCAGTTAATTTAAAAAAACCTGCTTGGTACTACAACATTTTTAAAAAGCGTTTCACTTCAAATCAAAGGCAAAACATTAACATCTCAAAAGTTCATGCCCTTTTAGGAAAGTGTATTTTTTAAGTGCCATAACATACAAAGCAAAGAAATATAAAGAAATAAATAGAGATAAAGCAGAAAAAAAAACATTGTTGAGTCGACACCACAATACAAACAGACTCTTTTTATTTTAAATAGATAAGCAAAATTATAACAAATGAGTAAAAAAGCTGTAAACCGGTTAGGAATATTTAACGGTGCTGTTCCATCATTGAAGGATCTGCATATTTTACATAAACTCAAATAAAAGTGCAGATTGCTATTTTATAGATGGATTAATCAGAATTTATTTAAAATATGAACCCCCTTATAAGTTACTATTAATTATTTTAAAAAAGCCTGAAATAACCGATGATTAACTGTTAGTTAAGCCGTAAAACTCTTGATATCATATTTATTTCTATTTCTCTAATAATAAAAAAGGATAATAAACAAAATATTTTTATTAAGACATAAAGAATGAACACATCACAAAGAATCATAAAATCAACAAATAAATACCCCGAATAAAAAGCTTCATTAAAAACTAATTACGCAAATAGCTAGAAGAAATGATCCAATGTACTTTTGTAATATTTTATTTCAAATAAAACAGACTTTTTACTTAGGAGTGGAACTATTGAAATGATAAAATCATCAGCATATATAGTGAATATTTGGCAACAACGTTATTAAGGTGGTTCAATTTGCAAAGAAGCCCTCCTGATAAAGGCTGCTGGGCTTGTCAAAGAGGAATGCAATAGATTTATTTGAATAAACTGATTTCAATAACAGAGTTAGAATATATATAATTAAAATGCCAGGTACTGCTTTGGATTTTTTTGCATAGTTCTAATAGAACATAATGTAAAAGAGAAGCTTAACCTGTTTCTTAAGAGAGGAGGAGTTAATCACAAACAAATAAAACACCATTTTACCAATTAGGTATCGCTTTATCATTTAGCCTACCATGCATATTATAAATATTAATTAACATTTAACTAACTGTTAATTTTGCTTTAAATACTGACAAAGAGTTTTAAGGCTTTATTTAAAGTCAAAGGCATTACTATAATTATAAGCGTTAATAGTGTCATTCATACTAGGGTTTCAGTTCTCATTAAGTCAAAGGTTATCTTAATAACCAGAGTAAAATTAATTTTTTTACTCTTTTTAAACTCAGGTTGAATGCCACCCCTATTTCACTCAGCCAAAGTTACTTCAATACTGCCGGGAGAAGGACATAGTCATCGTTGGTTACAGCCCTCTTGGGACATCTAGGGATGCATCGTGGTAAGGACATTACTGAATACTTCAGGAAATGTATGATTGTTACTGTCTATTAATTCAAAATTTGAAAATCTAATAGTCCGTACAATCACTTTGTCTTCACTTAATAAAAATGGTCCCATATTGAAAATACAGTAGATGTAACTTTTAATGAATAAATCCAGATTTTAACCCCTCAACAATATTGTGTGTCTGAGTATTTCACCAATATAATCAGTTGAGTTTATGGGGATTAAATCCAAAGAACGTAGAGAGAGGGAAAACAAAACATTTAATTGTCGAGTGCCATGTAGAAATATTCATATATGTTTTAGGTTTTTTCTAAAATCCCAAACAGGAGACTGATATATATGTTATTTTGATAAATACCAGCTAGATTTTGCTGGTCTTTATGATAAAGACTTCTGTTTCTTTTACCTATTAACCCACATCATGATGCTTCCACCACTATGTTTTATAGTGGGGATGGCACCTTTGTCCTGATTTGTTGTGTTACTTTAACTAAGGAGCTTTGTCTGTTTTGAAAATACTAAAAAAGTTTAAGCGATTGCGACTGGCAACAAATTATATTTTGGTGATGAGCCGGATCACTATCTAGATCCAGGATTTTTTGAAACATTCCATGAACTTAAGGTGGAAATCACAATATGTTGGGGGAAATTAGCTACCTGGCAGAAGTTTGTACTATCTGAGCGCTTTTCTATTTACTTACTTTGCACCCACCTCATTTTGTATGTAGGCCTTTAAATTACATATTTGTCAAAATTGATCAGAACACTTTCTTCCAAACAGGCTGAATTCTGGACATCGTTTGTGGCAACCTGCAAACCTTTCTAAATTTTTTTTTTTTTTAGGGATTTCCTGAGTAAAAGGAGTTAAAATAAACTATTATCATCATAATATTTTGGTTTCTATTAGCAGAAATTATGGATAACTTTTCTTACAGATCATATTTGTTTCTTTAACCACAAAAAAGGGACTTTAAAAGTGTAGAACATTAAATTCTATATTATATTCTATATTAAATATATATTATACTAATATATATTTAGGCTTTCAAAGTTAAAGCAGTAGTATAGTAGTAGTATAGTATGTGTATGCGCGCTCACTTGGACTTTTTTTTTAAAGGGTCAACCTAAAATGTCCCCCATTGTTGGAAGATGAGGTTCTGGTCACGATTGCCAAAAAGTACAAAAAGACAACAGCGCAGGTGTGCCTGAGGTTCAACATGCAGAGAGGAGTGGTGGTCATCCCCAAAAGCTTCACACCTGAGCGCATAAAGGAGAACTTTGATGTATGCCTCCATTACATCTGTTTATTACAAGTTGAAAATAAGAGTGATAATTTAGTTTCACTTATTTGTGCAGATTTTTGACTTCTCCCTGTCGGATGATGAGATGAAGGCAATCGAGGGGCTGAACAAGAATATTCGCTTTGTGGAGCTCCTGATGTCAGTATTTCACAAAACCTATGATATTTTGCCTCTGTTTTAAATTTAATATTCATATTCCTATTTACCAACTCAACAGGTGGTCCGATCATCCAGAATACCCATTTCATGATGAATACTGACATCCCAGACATCGAGACTACATTTATTCAAAGCTGGCTAATCTTGGTGATTCAACTCAACTTGCAAATACTTTTTTTCTTGCACATTCAATACTTACCTAATTTTTTAAATCCAGAAAAGCATTTTTTTTAGTTCTTTCATATCTTGAACAAAAATGATAATATCATTGGGTTTTTATTTTTTGTTTTACCTTGAAACTAACTCAGTATTCTTTGCTACATTTTGATAAAATGCAAGGATTTAATAAATTCAGTGTTAGGATTAACTATCTATGTGAGATAATACATATATTATAGGACCTTTTTAATGTTCAGCCTTGTTTAATAAAAAAAAATATATATATATATTAAAAGGATATTAAAATTGAGTTGTTGTTTTTTTTTTAACTTAATGTCATTAGAGGTGTATCGATATGTTAGGTAATATGTTTTGCAGCCTGCTCACAAGATTGACAGGGATTCAATACAAACCCTGCTACTAAAAACATTTTGTAATATTTATTTTTTTAGTACTGAAGGTTTTTCCATTTATTAGGGTAAAATATGGTACAACCTTCTCAAAGTTTAACAATTTTATTATTATTTAATATTTATAATTCAATTTTAAAACTTTGTTTCAGACTTTAATCTCAATTATTTTTGTTCTGATTCATGTTTGGGTCACTTGGGTCTGATGTAATGACATATTACAGTGTGATTCACAGACAAATTGAAATGAGTAATTAACCTCCTGCTTCCAATCCTCCTCCTTATTTGGTTAAAAAAATTATCATTTTAACATTGCAAAACAAGCAGAATATGAAGGACAGCAACATCTGCTCTTTTAAAAGGTCTGGGACAAAATGAGTAATAAATGAATGTGGGGAAAAAAGCAAAAAAATCAAAAGCTGTTGGTAATTTATTATGATCAACTTGATTATTTGTTTAAATGTTCATAATGTTAAAAAAGGGGAGACATAAGCATTAAGGTGTATATCCATAACCCGGAGGTCTTCAACAGGGGGTCCGTGACCCCTAGGGGGTCCACGGAGGTACTGCAAGGGTGTTGCGAAGGTTTTGGTTGATTACTTTTTTTTTTTCATATTCCCCCCGCAATTTTTCCCACTAATTGAAATGTCTTTAATTACACATTAACATGAATTCAACACACTGAAGTAAACAGATAAATGGAGGCAGAAGACGTCTTTCAGTCATCAATGCACACATTCAGCGACACACAGGAGCTCTTTCAAGCTGGGCACCGATTCATTCACAACACCTGTCCCATCAACCAGGAATAAGAATCAGAAATACTTTAATAATCCCAGGGAGAAATTACTTTCGTTACATTACTCTATCTGTAATAGAGTGACTATAGGACCAGTTTGGTATATTACAATTTCAGAAAATGGGGGAATTTCAAAATCGTCCGAGATTTTGCCAAAATCCCCTAATAGTATAATTAGGGGCTCCCCGCTCCATCTTCCCATCACTTTGGGGGCCCTTGCCCTGGAAAACGTTGAAGACCCCTGCCCTAACCCATTACGATTCACTTTCATCACAATTTAAGAAGACCTTTTAACGTTTAAAAGGAATAATTAACAGTTTTGCTAATTATACAGTATGGTCAAATATGAAACAACTGATCTTTGTCTTAATATGCCATTTTAAATCATATTGAATTAAATTTATTAAATGCAATTTTAGTTTACAGAGTTTTGTTCATGAAATTTCTGTAATTTAGACTTTAGAGTAGTAGACCCGCAATTTTTCCTTAGCTTTTAGGCTAGAAATCCAAACCTGATACAGACTATAATAAACCATTTTCGATGCCGATTTAATATACGCATATATATACGGTATAAATTAATCGCTTGAACAAATACTAACATTTGTTTCCTAAACACGGGGCTTCAATTTGGGCTTTCCGAGCTTTACTGAAGGCATCCCAACGGCTCTCCTCTTTGCTAGTGCTAGCTAGCCTGTTTGCTAATGCGGCTATGATACCTTCAGACGACGTCCATTTACACGCACAATTCCTGCCTTTAAACCAATTTAAATCGTTTAACAACCTCTCCATCCTTTTAAAATGCATGTTTTTTTCAACCCAGCGAGATGGACAACTATCTCACTTCAGCGACTTTATTCGTCCGACGACAATGTTTAGTTGCGCAACAGACAGCTGCAGCTAAGCTAGCACCGATTTAATTAGCTTCCTGTTTTGTTGTCCTTATGTCCAATTGAATAAGAGCTCTTGAAATGAACACAACACCCTGCTATGCATCTGTGATTATTAGCATCCAGCTTGGGTGGCAACCTTAAGAGGAAGAAGAAGACGCTAAGTGTGAGCTAATGTTGCTAACTTTGTTGGAAACGCGAATGGAGGAGATGCTAGCGTGTCAGGCTGACTTTACCCTACTTCTCAGGTGAAGACTTCCAACACCGGCCTGGCCTGCCCAACACTTTACGGAGGATGGAAACGCACTCATCATTAGCTGCTAGGCTAATCGGTGTTTTCATTTCTCCCTCAAACCTCATTATGAATCCACACATGGACGCTGTTGTGTGATTTACATAATAATCATGGGCAAGGAGGAAGTTTCCCAAGAAGATAGCCACTGTTACAGCATGGATTATTGATCTCAGCTCTTCATTTCGACCACATTTGTTTTGTAAATGACTGGATTGACTTCGACATGGCTGCGATCGCGGAGTTTGTCCCCCCTCCTGAGTGCCCGGTGTTCGAGCCCAGTTGGGAAGAATTTTCGGATCCATTAGGATTTATCAACAAAATCCGTCCCATTGCGGAGAAAACGGGCATCTGCAAGATCAGACCTCCCCAGGTAAACGCTTACATTTGATTAAATAAACAGAATAATCTGTAAAATCTGGGGTTAATCCTTTGTGATTAGAAGAAGTACTCAGCTGAGGTTTATTTTGGGCCTACCTGAATTTTGTCACCCAACTCCTAGTTAGAAGCAGGCTGCTTTAATAAAGGTCAAATAGAGCTTAATATCATTGTGCACATTGTCTGCCTTTTACTCTTTGTTAAAACCCAGCAAAAAAAAAACCCTCAGCTGTCTTATAATTCCTGTATCTGATGCTTTGTTTATGTTTTCCTGACCACTGAGTGTTAGATCAGTTATGGACATGATGACATTGTAGGAGATGCAGGCCTGAAGCTTATGTGAGTCCTTAAACAGTGACATGTAGCCCTTATTTATATGATTTAGGGATCAAATATTCAAGCCTGAGATTGTAATTTGTTTTGATTAAAAATTAACCAAGTTCTTCAATAAATATCATCAGTGATTATGTAACAAACCTGTCATATATGGTTATTGTTATTATTGTTAGTGTGATCGTGGCTTTTAATGTATATTTAAAAAAAAATGTATATATATATATATATATATATATATATAATTACTTTGAGTGTTTGATCTAGTTTGAATTTATTCCCATTGCTGTGTTTCTGGAGTATTTAAAAAAAAATGTATATATATATATATATATATATTTATATAATTACTTTGAGTGTTTGATCTAGTTTGAATTTATTCCCATTGCTGTGTTTCTGGAGTAACTACAGGAAAATTTAGTGCTTCTCTTTTGTCTGTCAGGACTGGCAGCCTCCTTTTGCCTGTGATGTTCGCAACTTCCGCTTTACCCCAAGAGTCCAGAGACTAAATGAGCTTGAGGTGAGTTAAAGAACAAATATGTTTATGGAAATCATGTGGTTCTACAGAGGAAGAAGAGAAAAATGTACACTTTGGAAATGGTCAGTTTTCTCTTGTGGTTAATTTTACATGAAATGAAGCAGATCTACATATAGGATTGGGGAGTGTTGGTCTAGTGGTCAGAGCGGTGTGCTCTGAGAAGGTTGCAAGTACCCGGTTTCATCCCCTCTGGGTCTCTGAGCAAGAACCTTAACCCAGATTGCTCCCTAGGCGCTGCACAGTTCAATTAATATTATTATTACATCATTAAGCTGCTAACTCTGCTCCTGCCTTTAACCTGCCAAGATTTATTCTGGCAGCTCTTCAAATCCAAGTTGGCAGATCTGCTCCGCTAAAACCTTTAAAGGGAGTTTTAACCAGCCGGATTCCTGGTTTATTGAGGGATTTTTTTTGTATCAAGTGGTTCTAATATAAATCTGTTTTGCATTTAACAGTCATTCTTTATTTTCTCTTTATTCTAATCCCATTTCTATTTCTTTCTTTCTGCTTTTAAAGGCACTCACTCGAGTTAAACTTAACTTCCTGGATCAGATCGCAAAGTTCTGGGAGCTGCAAGGATCTAAGATTCGCTTCCCTCACGTGGAGAGGAAGATTTTGGATCTCTATCAGCTGAGCAAGGTGAAGCTAGTTCTTCATTCTTGTTCTTTTTTTCTGCCTCAGCTAAAAGTTATTGAGACATTCTGACCCATTAAAATTCAGAAATGTTGTTTCGATTAGTATCTGAAAGTTTCTCTTGTCTCTAATGTGTTGTTAAAGTTCTTCTGTTGCTTTCTTTCCAGATTGTTTCTTCTGAAGGCGGGTTTGAGACAGTCTGCAAAGACAAAAGATGGTCCAAAGTGGCGACTCGCATGGGTTACCCGCCGGGAAAAGGCACTGGTTCTCTTCTGCGCTCACATTATGAGCGATTCCTTTACCCCTATGAACTCTTCCAGTCTGGAGCAACTCTTACCGTAAGTGGTTTGGATGTAGTTCTGTTAAGGAGGTTTTAAACCGTTATGTGAGAAAATGTGAAGAACTTTTTACTTTTATTTCTTTGCTTTTCTGCAATAGAAGTTAAATATATATATTTATGAGTTTGTTTCTACTTGTTGGTTTTATTCAGGGCATCCAGCGGCTGTATGATGAAGGAACAGATGGGGAAGAAGTGGATGAGGGTGTAGGGGAGGAGGCAATGGAGGAAGAGGAGCAAGAAGAGGAAGATGAAAAGGAGAAAGACAGAGAGGGTGACGTGACGCAAACCAAAGAACGGCTTCAATCAGAGCGGCGCTCCCGTCGACTGAAATCAGAGGTAAAAGATAAGTTGTTTTGGTCTTAATAATTTTTTTCCTCCAAAAAAAAATAGAGTGTTAAACTTCTGTCCTAACAAAGCCAAACTTCTACCTTAAAGGAGAATTCCGGTTTTTAAC